CCCTCGTCCTGTCAATTTCGTCTCGTTTTAGGCATAAATTCTGCCCAATCCTTCTGTGCAGAAAAAATCACATCCAATCAAACTACCGCATCTCCACCGTATCACCTCTTAAACTCGAGCTTTGACATGCAGTATTAACACATTTTGAACTGTTTATTCTCGTCGTTCATAGAGGGTTTGCATGGTCATTCGTGGTAGACTTTCATCGACACGTACTGTGTGTGTGTGTGGGTGTGATTCAAATTTGCCTTGTCACATTCCACTGCAGTAAGATTATTTCTACAAAGAATTTAATTGCTGATAACTGATTTTTCTGATTTTTCGGTTTTGACCTGCACAATTGACTCCTTGCATGAACTCGTAGTGAACCGTGATGTTTCATGTCCAATAACCCAGTCTACGCGGATTCCAGCACACGTCCCGCCTTTTCACGACGTGCCCGTCAGTCACGTGAGGCCGCTGGTTCATTAACCCATCTGCATGTACCCCCACCACCACCACCCGCTTTAGTCATGTGACCTCATAGACGCCTTTTTTACATGTCCACGCAACCGTATCAGTAGTCGAAACAACTTGGTTGAGCTGTCTTGTAAACTGTCGTGCCTGCAACCTCTGGACCTATTTTTTTGGTTTCTTCTTGTGGTAAATGGCCGCAACAAACTCCTGCGTGTGCCTCGATTCTGCTTGGTGGCCGTTTTGTGTAAGCATTTGCCTACGTAGTCTTAGAAACAATTCACACGAATTTGACCACACCCACGGTTAATCTGTTTGATCGATGGATGTAAAATTACGCAATTATACTAGGGATTCATGAAATACAAGTAACTTTCTATCTTCTCAGCTGACTTTTTGACTGTTTTAATGCCCTCAAGCAAGATATTTTGCTACAAGCAGTTGTGGAATTCGGCTCTGAGCTTGCATCAAGGTTAGCAACATGTTGGGGCCCTTTTATTGAATGTCGATTCCCGAGGAGGTTAAGTACACACATCAGGTAATTTGATGGCTAAAATCACTAGTGTGCTGCGTCCTTTATTTGCAAACAAGGTCGCCCCAACAGGTGAATTTCTAGACACACCCACACAAACACTGGGAACCCTGGGAACGCGGAGTCGAACAGACGCGCAAATTGTCGATACCAATGAATTACCATGGGGTGTCTTGACGTGCGTCAGCATCATCTGGGACGTGCAACCACGCTGGTTTACTCATTACCCCATGAGGATTCCCTCCGCATTCTCAGTGACGTGGGAGCAGAAGCTGACGCTAGACAGTCATTACTGCAGTGACTTATGCAAACTAATTTGAACACAACTTCGCATGACATTCAAGTTTTGCCAATTTTCAAATAAGGGGGAATTGTTAATGACCAGGGAACCTTTCTGACCCAATATAATTAACTGGTCTCGTAGACTAAGGAAGTAAGCCTTCGAGACGCGGGAGATGACAGGTCACCAGAAATCGTCACAATTGTGTGCTTTAGGTACAAATTGAATCTCTCGAATGAAGACCTGTTACGTCAGTGGCAATTGTGGACCTGTATGCGGTGGATTTCGAGTACCAAGGCGGACACCATCCAACTTCCCGTCTGGATAATCATGACATGGCAGTACATAGACCAGTCGAGGTAGGGGTGATCACGAAATCGTGACCAACTGATTGGCTACCGTAAAACACACTAACACAAGAAAAACATAAATGATTACCTACGCAACGCCATTCCATCAAGTCTGCTGACAACTTTGCATTTTTACAAATGAATTAACAAGGAACAGGCCCAAACCCCATTCAAAAAACAATATTGGTCACTGTATCTAGAAAATTTACTCTTCATAATTTACCGCGATTAATATTAGTTATTCCGAATTTGAGCTTTTCTGAAAGAAAATCACTATAGGGGCTGCAATGAAGCTAATTTACAATTGTTTGAATCAATTGTAGCTCCCTCCGTTGTCAATGTACCAAAAAGTATTTCTCTACATCACTTGAATCTAAACCACGCGAATCTTTAAATGCATTATTTGAAGACAGGAATTTCGCGCACTGATATTTTGTGAGCTTAAAACTTGGCACACCCTTTCCGGAACCCATAATTCCACATTTGCCCAAATGCTCTCCAACCCACAGATGAATGGAAGGATTTGTAATTTTGCTGGCCAAACTGTCAACTAGGAGGAGGAGCCTTCTTCAAACCGTGTGATTTGGTTACCTAAAGTCACTCAAAGTTGTGCAGCTACGTTTTGACCAGGGTTGCTTGAGGCGATGCAAAAAAATGCCATCACAGAACTTTCAATTTTAAGGTTACGTAGACACCGCGCACTGTTACTTACTACCTGCATATTTTATGTTATGAATTCAAAATTAAGCGCCTATTAGTTGACAAAATGATTTCACTATATTGGCAAAACTCGCACTGGGAAGTCTGCCATCACAAAGTCAAAAAACCAGTGGCCGACTTCCACTCGAAACCCTTTGCGAGCGTCATTAGCCACGGTTGCTTCTTGCATTTCCATCCTGTGCAAAAAAAGATAGTCCCCATTTGGCCCTAAATGCCTCATGCTCATGGTTTCGGGTCTTGCAAAAAAGGATTCTTTGTTAGTTACTTAAATTGGTTTGTTATGCAAGGTTGATGACATAATTATGGTAAAATGTACTCGATTGTGATGTTTAGGAGCAATTTACGCGAGTCTTCGGGGTTTTGTGAAATCCGCCACTTTAGTTGGAAACTGAAAGCTCTCTAAGTCAGTTAAAGGTCGGATGGAACTCTCCGACAGCTAAATTACAACCCGAATCCCCAGCCTTTTTGCAAATCCGGAAAACCTTACTTGGTGAAAAAGTTTATTTCCACTTACAGAAGCATTTCAGTGAGGGACTACTCCAGCTTGTTATTCAATCTAGCACTCTATATGCCATTGACCCTCACTTTGAATGTAGCCTGCGTTGGACGCAGTCATGGAAACCAGTATTGTGTTAAAAGCCATTGTGTCAATGTGTATCCCATTAACTGACTCATCCCACGTGTGGGCGATTCCTTCCATTTATATCAACTGCTACTTCAGGCAATTTACTTCTATTGGGATTCGATCAAGGTCATATGACTCAGTAACAATTGAGCTTGCTCGCAGATAACAGCGGGTAATTTCTAATGGGGCACAACGTCGGATCAAGCAGTCCGTTCACTTCTAGCGCCAGCCGTAATCGTTCTTCGCGTGGTCTTAGGAAAATGAAGAATACGCGTCTGGCCTTTTTGCATAATGCACTTCATTCCAATGAGATTCGCATTACCCAAGAGACTCGTAAACGAAACGAAGCCTTGCCGTATTAATTTGGTCGGATAAAAAGGACGCTAGTTGGATATTGTTACGAGACAGACTGACCAATCGCGTGACGACAATTCGCGAAACCTGATCACGCATTTAGTTGACATGAACTTGAGTGTTTTCCTCTTGTTCAAATGTATCTTCTACTGTATTACCATTGTCAAGGTTACTCGAGCTTAAAAGAAATCTCGAAAACGCATTGGTTGCCCAAATATTTCTTTGCATTATTGAAACAATAATCAGAATGACACCAGTTTCCTTCACTCATTCTTTAGCTTTATTGAGAGGAGGATGCATACACTTAATGTAAAAAATTAAAAATCCTACAAAGCATCACTAAGCAAGCACAGATGGAAATATAAGTATGGGCGTAGGTATCAGGGGGTGGTATAGGAGGGTTAGGCAAGTTGCAAATATAAGAAGACTTGCAAAATATGTAGTCACAACGCGATTGCTGTTCTCTCACTGACTGACTGCGAGTCGCGTGGGCCAAGAGTGGTGTTAAAATTTAAGAAGAATAAACAAGAAGAAATTAAGGAAGGATGGAGAGGAGGGTAAGAAGGAGAAAGAGTGTCAACGCAGATCTAACAGAGGATACAGAAAAGAGAGAAATTGTTTGGAAGATATTGCACTGGTGACTGAGTCAGACGCATAGCGGCTCAGCACTAACCATAAATCGATAAATATAGTGTAAATATCATAGATTAGCGTGCAACGCATACATATACCAGGATGCTGCGTCGCCTGGGTTAACAGATGGGTAGTGATATAGGTCGAGAGCTCTGAGTTACTGAGTATAGGGCTTGTCGAAGACAAGGGAGATTTTCTCTGTGAATGTTGGTGTGTGTGTATGTGTGTGCGTGTAGGTGAGTGGTGGAGGTGGATAGGTAGGCTGATAATTCCCGCCTTTGATGAGATGCAAGTATTGGAATTGTTGCGTTGAGCCAATGGCGCCCTCTAGGTACGTGCGGCACCCCTGCTTCACACATCGACAGGTGGCATTCGATTGCAATCGCCGTCCGACGCACATAGACACACATCAGGAATGACAAGCAAAGCACTAACATCAAGCCGGTTATGTGTTCGACCCCTGTTAGGGGAACGGGGTGGCCAAACAGAGAGGGGGGGACAAAGGCTGCCTTCATAAATTGGTGAGGACGCGTGGGCTTGTGCTGGGCAGGCGGAGGTGCGCGTATGTGACTGTCGGATAGGCCTGCGGAATATTGGCAGTCTCTAAGTAGTTACTACTGGTAGTATTCGATAGGAATCACTCGGGTCGCCCGAACACAATGGGCCTGGAAGACAACCATCAACGGTGTTGTTTTAACCTTGTGAGTATGAGGATGTTTGGGTGTTGTGCGTGCGTGGGTGTATGTGTACGAATGGAAGACAATCTGATAATAAGTACGTAGAGGAGCATGCGTGTTTTGGTAGGAGGTAAGTCTCTTAAAGTCTATTTCTTACTCTGGTTAGTTGCTTTTTTGGTTTTTCTATGTGTTAACGCTGAGGCAAGAAGTAAAGTCAGGTATTGTTAGTGTGTGTGTGTGTAGCGAAGTCTGAAGCACTGAAATGCGCGGGCATCAAGCTGTACAGGAGTGATGCGCTCAAAATGCAGAAGAAAACGCCCATTTTTCTCCTCACAACCTAGACTGATTGGAACCACCACGCCATCCGCCCCGTTCTCTACGGATTTTGTGCTGGATTCGTCATGGCCGCCATCGTCGCCGTCGAGATGCTACTAGCAGCTGACGTAGTGGTCCAGACACCTCGTCCATGATCGATTCCAGGGGACTGTTGAACGATAGTGGCGACATTCCCAAATGAGGAGTGCGGAGCCGCCGTGGCAGCACCGTTTGGCGTAAGGAATACGAGCTGCTGTTGCTGTTGCTGGGCAACACTACTTCTGCCAGTGGTTTGAGGAAGCTGGATGATGGTGGAATTGCCGGAGTCCAAACAGGCCTGCTGGTGGTACATGTGATGCGTCGTTCCCATCCTGCTTCCAATGACTTTGGCGTTGTTTGCGCTTCCACGAATCCATTTCGACACGTCATCTGAAATCAAACGCTTTGAGTATGAGCACTCTAACGACTAGATGCATTTCAGACACATCTACGTCTGTAAGAGAATTAGTCGCCCGAGAGATCTCAGGTTTTTGCCCGATTGAATTATCTTAGATTTACTTATGAGGGCTTAACTGACCAAAAAATTTCTAAGAGTCAAAATGCACGGTTTTAAGCTGTACTTTTTGACAATTGGTCTAAGAATCTACCTGAAATGTCAGCAGCATTATCTTGCAACTTAGCTGAAATGATGAGGTTTGTAGCATCTAATTCCTGCAGCAGTGAAGTGCAGTAAAGGGACAGTAGCTGAGTCACGCGAATGTATGTTTCAGATCCATAATGGCATCAAACGGCAGCACTCCCGAACTGCGGTAAACAGAGCCAGCTGCTGCTTGTTATTTTGCTGCAGCTGCAAAATAATTATCTGCAGTTGGTCATGTTCGTTGCTCCTGTTTCTGTGTAGGAGGTAGAAGATAATGACAATTCGCTGCCTCATCTGTTGAATACCCCCTGCCATATATGGTCTGAAGCCTAATTATGCCCCCCTCCCCTCAATACCTTCCGTCACCCCGAACCCCGTTCAAGGACAGAAAAAGTCACCTGCTCTGTTCAAATCAGCCCGAATCTACACAAACAGCATCCCAAGTAATCCGTGTCTCAAGCAACCGAGAAGAGCTGGCCATCACAGATCTTCCAGATAATCCCATTTTTCGGGCCAAAGACCTTCATAATGTGACCAACCATGAAGGCTTTAAGCTACGTCATTGGCTGAAATTAAAGCATAAATGTAGACGTGACTAGGAGTTAACGGTGCAGACGGGTCATGTGCATGAAACAATCGGAAACCATGAGTCTAAGTGATATGGTGAAACTTAAATAACTTCTACCTGGTTCGACTTAATGTGACTGGTATCAACGCGATAAACTGGTGGTTTTGAAATTGAAACGTATTCAACTTCACAATAATTCAGAGGAAATTTACGCAGAGAATGAAAAAGGCCACAGTTGCTTAACGTAAATGAACTTCTTCTGGTTCATAAGTAAGAGTAGATCAAATTTGTTGAAAGCCTTCCTTTCTCTACATTAAATTTTGATTAGTTTGCAGAAATTCCATGGAATATTTTTAGGTTCGTACGAGCAAACACAACCATTCTTCGAATTACAATGGCTTCTGGCAGAAAAAGCTTTTTTTACCGAGCTGTATTTTCTTAAAGTAGTAAGTGATTTTTTCCAAAAAGAAACTAACCAACCAACTCAGGAACCAAACAGAACATGAATGCCCAAATATGGCATTCGGACAGCTTCATTTAAGTTCCGTATTTCCTAATCAACCTACAAAAGTCCCGATTATGATGATTTACATCTTTTTTCGTAGTAAGGGATTCGACATTTTGTTTGTATAATGAATTGAAAAAGCGACAGTCTCGACTACGTCGCCCAAATCCGAGTTATTCCTGGTAATGTTTTCGTTGCAGTGAACAAGACGTTTTGTACACTAGTATACAATTTGACAGTGTTTGACAAATGCCTGTTCCCATTCAAAGCCATTTTCCCCAAACGTCGCCCTTTACTTGATGGCCACATTCAACTGCATTGCTTCCCAAAATGCACATTTGGTGGGCGAAAGCTTCTAATTTAGGTAGTCTATTTTCAGCTTGAAGGTTGCAATGTCGGTTAAATATGGTAAGTAAAATTTAATTAATTCGCGGATTTTGCACACGTGCAATTTCAGTCCCATTTTATTTCGGCTGTGATGGTTTTAGCCGAAATAAAGGGAAAAGGGTGGTAGAGTTGCTAATGCGAACTATAGGGAACGTCTCTGGCATCGTTTGCATGTGTCTACGGGAAACCGTAAGTACCTAGCGGTGTAGTGAAAGCCTCTGTACACTTTCAAACGCTAATTAAGTATTAGCGTTGCAGAATTCACGAAATTGCCCTCATGAGTGTGCCCCGTGAGTCAACACATAATAGTCCATCCTCTCTGGGCCGAAACGGGAGTGTGAGTTTATTGGGCGGTAGTTTTGTGATTCCAGCAAAACGCGCCATTCCATTTTACCAGGTTTTTGCAAACACTTAAGCTCACATCTCGGCGTTGTAACCTGCTGTGGTCGAAGGGCGACATCAAAATCAAGGTTCAGTGGTGGCCATAGCATACGGGGAGATAACAATTATCAGAAATTATCGTTGCCTTTAACCCCAAAAGAAGGCCTTGAGAAGTGCTGCTATCGATTTTTGCTACTCACACTCAAATCCCGAATAATTTTTTTTAAAATTGATATTTAAAGTAATCGGAAGCTACCTGGTAACTCGATTTCATTAAATAAATCAAAACGATTGAAGCTGACTGTGGACATTGGTGACCGCGAAAATTCATTCTTCTTCTCTAAATCATGTGGATATCCCAAGCATTCTAAATCATGCTAACATTAGTATGATGAAAACGCACTCTTGTAGATCAGTCAGTCCTCTCCACAATACCAGCGAACCAGTACCGTTAGCTTTCAGGGAGATTAGAGCTGGCCGAGTTATTTATTTCCAAGATCAGATGCAATAAAAACCGTTAAATGAAGCATTTTATGCAATGAATTTGTACTTGTTTTGATCCATTTCCTCTGCCAAAATGCGCACCATGTGCATCTGGCAGGGAAACGAATGGCATTCCTCAATTCAGAATCCTTCGTTTATGCTAGTACCCAAGAGCAGCACGTGATGTTCCTGTGTTTTGCTACAGTCACGTCCTGACTACACAAGCACCCCCCACGCCCCTTTGATGCACTGCAGCAACTCGGACGAAAATACACTGGGCTTGTTACTATATTTAGTTGCTTCGGATCTGCCTAAGCGTAGCATTTAACCACAAGGAACGCCTTCCGTGTTAAATGCGGCCCTTTGACGCAACGTTGCAGTGTTGCAGGCCCAATATGGGACTGACTTAGTACGTGATCGAAGTTCCCCACTTGGTACGCCTCATTTGCAGTCCCGAAGTTCGTGCCGGTCTTTTGTAGATATGTCCTGGTAATCCAGCCAGCATTCTTTTGTTCCAAGTGGATTCAGTTCAGCCATCCTAATACACTAATGGACGCGTTTTGTTTCAATAAAGGGTGGAAAAGTGGCGGCTATTTCGGTGTTGCTAACTTCAAGAGGAGGCAGAGTGTCCCGTCCTAGTGAGTTGTGTTCAACCTTGGCATGGACAGCATTGAAAGAGGACGGGTGACTCACTCGCCTCCCCGTCCACTCCCCATCGTCGACAGACGGGAGACGTTGCTAATGTAAACAAGTGCTTGCATTCCGGCCCACGCCCACAGCCTGAAAATATTGACGTGGCAATTCACAAGCCGTTTGCGAGTAATTACACGCCCATAAACAGTGCATCTAGCACGGTGCAGGCCCACCAAACTACACATGTGGAAAGGTACTTATAACCGGGTGTAAATGCTACCACACCTAGCAAAAAAACAACCGGAAGGAAGAGGTCGATGTCACCTAAATGTAATCCTGACTCGGAAATATCAACGTTGTATTTTGTGGGGTACACAAGATTGGGTTCGCTGGCAAATCGTGTAGCGATAGGAGGTAAATTGAATGCCGCCGAGAGACACATACCTGCTGACATCATGGACCTCGAACCGTCCACACTACTCAGCTGACCGCCAGCAGTAACAAACTCGATGAAGCCCGAACCCGACGTGGCCACAGTGGTGGAGCCGGTGTCATCCAGGGAGAATTGTCCATTGGTGCAGAGGCCCGTAGTAGGTGCCTGGAAGACCGCTGTGGGGGTTCCGCCACCACCGCCACCGCTGCCTCCACCGCCGCCGCCTCCATCGTCTCCTCTCGGGATGGAGATGTAGCCGGTCTGCACAAGAGTGGGACTGTACGCGGTGGCAGGGGCCTGGGGCGGAAGCAAAGAGATCCCACCGAGAGCATTCGTTGTTGCGCGGTTACAGAACTGGTTTTGCATTGTGGCTGGCTGGAGAACCATTGTGCCGTCGGGCTGTGGAATCAGCAACTGCAGGAACAAATAAATCGAGTTAACTTCATACCGTTTTAAGGGTACTTCAAGGAGTTGTGGCACTTCAATGCCTACCTGTCTCCAACTACTGAATTAAGCCTTGATGTACATGGGACATTTTTTAACTAGAAGTTAGAAATCCGAGCGATAACTCACGGGACAAGGAAGGAAATGTTGGTAACCACCACGTCCATGTGAAATATTTCCAAGATTGCTCTCAAGACGCTCTTAACCGACATGGGCGAACTTGAAATTAATCGATTCTCTTGCAATAAATTCACGTAGTCACACACGGTCAGAGACTGAGTGCAGAGTCACCTTATTTAAAATTAACGCCGTTTCACGCCAAATCAGCGTCGTCTACGGACTTATTCTTCTGTCATGGTTGGACTGTGTTTACGTAGGTCATTAGTTCGGTGTGGTTTGAAGACTAGACTAGGAATTTGAAGGAATCTACTGGGAAGGTTTGCACACCAAGAGACACCCAAAATGTTCCTCTCCTGGAACGGACCTGAATCCTACGTGCGAGCAAGTGCTCAAGTGGGCAGTAACTCAAACGTTTTATGACGTTCTCATTATTTATGGCTTTTCTTCCTGGAGTTAGGCCTCTAGGGAATATTTTTCTTTAATTATGCACCACGATGTCGTGAGCAGTAAAGGAATTCGTTGTTTACAAACGCCGTCGCCTATGTCATAGAAATGTTTTTTATCTTTTAAAAGTGTATTTCCGTAGATCCGAAGGAAAAATCGATAGACATGATTGTTTTCGATGCAACAGGCCCGGCTCAACTCCTCCAGGCACATTGAAATGCATTTGTCAGGCCAAAAATGTCAACAATTTCCCACAAAACATGCACAAAATGACGAAAACAACAGCAACGAATGCAGGACACCAAGCCATAAATTTGGTTTCTCGATTGCCACTAACGTGGTTTTGTTCATTTAGGGTTGTGAGACTTCGATTATCAGTTGTGGATTGTGGAGTGTCCTTTGGGTTTCTGCTTCTCTTGGTCAAATACTCTAACGAATAATTAGTAAACACTTCCTGAGAAGGACGTTTCAGGGCCACAATTAAAGCAAGCTACACCAAATAGCTTCATTTGCTGGCGAAGGGCGTCGAGGTGACACCTCAATGATACTGCCAGTGTTAATCATTGAAATACCAGAAAAAATCCCACCTGCAATGAGCTTTGGGAGTTTGCGCCTCGCACAAGAACCGTGACCGCCCCAGCAGGCGATGTCAGCTGTGGTGGCGGAGCGGATGGTGGAGGACCTGGAACGTGAGTCGGGTTCTGGTGGTAGGCCGCGGCGACCGTCTGGGCCTGAGTGGCGTTCATCTGGTCGGCGCTTCCACCGGCCGCGTTTTCCGATGGAGCGGTGGCAGCGTTGGCGCTGGTAGCCACGGTGGAGTCGCCGACGGTGGCGTTGGCAGTGTTCAAATGCTCGCAACCCGTCGCGTAGCAGGTGTTCTTGCCTCCAGACGATACCATCACTAGCCGCTGCTGATAGAGAAAGTGGTAGTTCTTGGAATCAGCAAAAGAAGTCAAAATTCTGTTTACAAGACGTTAGGCTTCACGCATCCGCTTATATCAATCTTTCGATAAGTCCGGTGGGGTGTAATAGGATAGCTACAACCAGACCGTCCACTACCCCCACCATCATCGAAAACCTTCGAATGTTTCCGTTTAAACCAAGATCCCAAAATCGAAATTAACTTCATGATTGTGTTACAAGGAGAGAAGAATGGTGTGGAGCATTAAAATCGTCATAAACTGGTGAGCTGCACACAGTTAACCTCACGCAGTGACCTGTCGTGTTCGAAAATAGCTGGATGTGTTGACGGCACACAATCTCGTGGAATCACGTGATTCCGAAAAAGAGGAACATAACAAGAAAGTGTGTCTTATTTGTTCGGACATTCCTGGTTCAGCGCTGTATGTAAGCGGATTTTTTTCATCGTGATATCACCTTAGCAGACTCTACAATCCAGCAAACTGAAGGGGCAAATTAATTCACAAGAATTCTATAAAAAGCATCTGTAGCCTAAGGTGATGTCTTCATGGGGATTTGGTCAAAAGGCGAAACATATAATGTTTTTAGGACCAGCTTCTTCAATTGGAAATCTTTTGCACCTCAATTCTTAACCTCCTTTACTAATTTTAAATTTCTAACTGAAATCAGTATCATGTTTTTGACCCGAAATGCGGTTAATGTTTTTATACCAAGAAATGGGACCAGGAGTAATTAAGCGTGACGCCAAAGTCACTTTGTCGGTGGCATGAACAGCTATTTCCTGGTCAGGAAGTGAAAACCCCCCCCTACTCTAGCCGTAAAAGAGTGTTTTAACGTGCCTGTTGCTGAAATTGAGGGGTTTGCTGGAATTGGTAGTTGCCGTTGACAATGGTGAAGTTTGTGGTGGCAGCCGCCGCTGACAGACGATGTCCATCGATATCAACCACCGCCTGATGGGGGTCAAACTGGTCGGGTTTTTGCTGTGCCGACTGCTGCTGGGGATAGCGGAGGACCAAGGTAGCGCCGTGGCTCTGCAGAATCGGTTGCTGAGGCGGTGGAGGAGGAACTGGAGTGGCGAGGGTCACCTGGGCTCCACTAAGAACACTGCTCGGCACCGCAGCTAGCTGCCCATTGGATAGTCGAACGAGAGTTAATGCCGCAGATCGTGTGTCTAGACTCTTTAGCTGCAATTAAACGGACTTTTGTTAGTGTTTTTAAATCAAACTGCCGCCAGATTCCTTATGACCAGAGCTTTTACTGTGATCTAAACGCAGACAATCGACTCCACCGTCACTAAATCACTCCGTGTTCAAATTCCATCGCACGAATTGACTTCCACTCACAAAAGGTAACCGTTACCGACGCCAACACAGGTAGACAGAAAATAAGTAAAACTGGCCAGATGGAACACAAATACACCCCGGTGAGTCATAGAGGTCAGTTCGCGAACCCCGGCAGATGTGTTGCCAAGACCGGTCACCCTGCGCATGATGAAAACTTGGGTGTCCTGCTTCTGACCCGAAGAACTAGTAGACCATGAGCCAAGTGACAACCTACAGGAAGTTTCTGTAACCCAGAAAACACCCCTATAGGCCTATTTAAGTTGTCAAAGAACCTGACAAGAGCATTAATTAGTTAACTGACTTAATTTTTTAAAGAGGCAATCAGTTTGCAGGCGACAAACCTCAGCCAGGCTCAGAGCCTGTCCAGTTGGTCTACTTAGTCATAAACTCGTAATTGCAACGATTAATTAGGCGAAATTAATGCCAATTTCTTACCCAATCAACCACTACGCGAAGCTGAGGTTTGTCACGGTACAATCTCATTTGGTTCAGTGGAGCTTTTTTTACGCAATCGCGGATCGCAATCGACAAGGGGTAATTAAGGCTGACAAACGCGAGACACCGTCGCAGGAATTCTTTGTCTTTGCAGCAAAACACCTGGTATTAATGAACTGGGGAATGATCTGCGCGTTTTGGTTATCGAGAGATGCGCCCTTTGACTGGTTTCTGTTACATCGGGACCTGCGGTTATCTAACTGCATAATTACGACGGTTTGACCGTTCGCGTAGAACAAACGGGTTGCATTTTCGTGTGCCGCTCACCTAACATATGACGTCCGCAATTGGGTTAGGCATAAAAGGTCAGATCGGGTGCTGAATCACTCGGCGTTGGTCTAGAACGGCGTGAATTCGTGAATTGAGGAAGAAGTCATCACCGACACCACCCCAAGGGAACCGATCAACACGAAATGTTTGGTTCACTGATGGGGGAATAGCTTCGATACTCCGAAGTTAGTGAAATGTGGTGGCCATGGCTACAGCAACCATTCGGTAATTAGAAATTCTTTTTGTGAGTCCTTGTACAGAATCTATTGCACACGCGTCAAGAACAAACATTGCAATCTTACACGGGGAAAGGAATGCGTTGCGCAAAAAAACCACCCATTCTGTTTCCCGAGAAGAGATAGTTGACTAAGAATGCAAGGAAATAGAAGCCTAGCTGCTTGCTATAGCCCCAATTTCAGCTAACCTCTGGGAGTGTCGTGGTAGGTACCATCACGACTGTTTCGTCAAGTTGAACCTACAATGTCAAGAATCCCTTGAACAGTTGGAAGACGTTTAGGCACCACACAACTTGAGAATTCATAGACGTTTGAGTGAGTCTGATGCTCATTCGTGACACAGTGACAAGCTTGTTGTTAGGCCAAATGCATAAAATTAGTAAACTTCCTTGTCAGATTCAATTTAATAACCAGAAGAAGTGCGTATGATTTGTACGAGAATCAGGAAACGTGTTATTCATGGGATATGTTTTACGATGGGAATGGTTCAACTTGTGATCTAAAATACTCTTTCCCAGTCTGAAAGTAAACAAAAAGCAATCCAGCTTAGTTTTATTCCAAAAAAATCAAGCGCACGTCAAATTTAAAGCAGCAGAAAGTGTACTTTACACGGCTGAAAAGCAGCCATTGGTTAGGTTGAAATCTCTTTCTTGAATGAAAGTAGCCTCTAGCATGGCCAATGTAGTTTGGGAATTATGACAAATCTTATCTGTGATCAGGCATAACTGACAGCAATTTGAGTACGCAGGAAATCACTAACTTATAAACAAGACATGCAGGAAATTGCAGATTCTTAACTCCATAAAAAACCAGGACAGCGAGAGCAGGTAATAAATTTGCCCTCACACACGCAAATCGCCCAACTAAGTCACTAGGACGGATACGGAGAGAGAGACAGAGAGCATAAAATAGCCGGGGAGCAACCGGGATAACGAATTAACACAGTCACCTTCACAAATAAAAATGACTTGACCCTATTTTTCATGGGAAAATAGCTGTGCAGACTGGCAAATGTGAGATTTACGTTAATATGGCAGCTTCTAGTAACACCCCTTCGTGAGATGCGTCACCTTGTGTTTCAGTGCGTCACTACAAACAGGTGTATGACTGGAATTCCAAAGGTAATACCGGCTTCAGCCCGGATATGCACTTTCGTGAGCCAATCTTCTGCGAGCATCGAAATACGTGGTGAACTGGGCACACCTGGAGTCAGCTGATACCACCACCACGTAACAGTTTGGATCCTTGTGAATAACACTTCTGCTTCCAACCCTTCTAACCAATCAGGTCGTTCAAAACAAAGTCTTCCATATTCTAGACAGTCTGCTGCAAGAGGTAGACAGAAATAAAGACCTTGAAGAAGTTGTGGAAGTCGGTGATTTAGAGGTTCCACTCGACTCCCTCTAGACTTGAAAACACCACCAAATTTTCGGCACTACTTGCAATAACTTGTTTTAATCATTTCTAAATGCGATGTTATGGATATCTGGATTATCATTTCATCAATGAATTACAGATCATAATGTTTGGGCGTTTTGTGATTCTGGAATGATGGACCTTGTAATTTTCAAGACTTTTCCGTCTTTGAACATTCGAAATTCTTTCAATAAGAGTTTCACACCTCAACATCAACTCCTCGTACCGGCAGTGTTATTTGTTAATCTATGTCTGCAGATCTATTCACCATCGCAGCAATGCTCCTCGACTCTGTAAACCAACCTGACAATTCCAGCTTCCAACGCCGCCCATTGTGATGGCACCATTCGCGACAGATTGCTGAAGACCAGACGCAGGAGTTGTCCCATTGGAACAGATGATGATGTTGCCACCACAACCGACTCCAGAGGTAACAGGCAGGGTAATGCCATCGGTCTGTTGAGTGGTGCTTACAGAAAGACGGTTGGCTCCAGCAGTGGGAGGTTGAAGGCTTAGAATAGCACCTCCCCCGCTGCCCCCACCACCCCCACCTCCTCCTCCTGCGGCCCCAGTCCCAATTGGAATGGACACCTCCACGCCGTTGGAGGTGGAGAGCCTTCCATTAACCGAGGAGGCTGTCGAGGGAGAGGAAATGACTATCGCAGAGTCGTCGGCTTTCTTTTGTTTGTGTGGCTAAAATGGGAGGCAACGAACACTCGGTGATCCTACTTGCTAAAAGCATTTAAGTCAAATGAATACAATGGCCGATAAGGAAACAGGTCTTCTTCAGGCACAAGCCGCTTTTAGGACATATGCTGTGTTGCCGAGATTTTAAGCGATCACCATTTAGTGATGCCAGCATATTCACGGCTGCAGGGATCATCAGATCAGCAGGAGGTCAGAAGGTGCATTTCGATGTTACTGGTTCGCCCGAACTCTTTCACTACTTTTAAGACAATTTTTTTTAATTATGCCTCGAATGAAGACATAGGAAATGGGCCGGTGGAATTCAGTCACAACTTCGAAATCTCTAAACTTGACAAGGCCTAAAAACTTGGTGCAGTTTGAAGTGAAGGAAACTTCGAGGTCGTGTGGCCTATGTTCACTGGAATAACAGGAATGGTGGTGGTGGTGATGCTGGTGGCAATAGTGATGGCCTAGAAGAAGGTGCATTTAAGGTAACTTCGATAAATGTCAATAGGATACACTGTGACCAGCTATGTCAGGCTGTTTATCTAGGTCTGAAAGTTGTTGTCCATTTTGCCCTGGTTTGGTGCCATCAACTCGGCCTTCTGCCCAGATTATTTTTTTTGTAAGATGGGCGAAGCTCGAACAGCCATGCCACGCTAACTCAATGTAGACCTGCGCGTTGGTAATGCTCCATTCTGGACTGGAACTGAGTGCTTGCAGTCTGGAATTTTGAAGGTATCGGTTGAAATTGGTAGGCCGTTACAGTTGATGGCAGTCTGGAAACGAATGCTGACCCAAAACTGCGTCAGCGTGCAGGAACACGCATACACACACACACACACTCCTAAAGACAGTTAGGAGAAGACGAAATCGTAGTTGCGAGGTCAACTTGGGGGCAAGGCTTAGAATCTAATCGCTTCTCTGGTAGCGAAGGGTCTGTCGCAGGACACTTAGGGCATCCCCACCACCTCCCCCTCACCACCACCCGTGCCTCTCGTTCAGCACATTCACTAAGCCCCACTAAAAAGATGCGATTAAATTTTGTGCTTGTGTGTAGGGGGGGGGTGACCTGCGGCAAAACGCATGTCCGTCAAAGACGAGCGTACGTTCCAAATGCGCACGCTCTCGTAGGATGTAGATGGGTTATTCCCATAATTATTTAACGGCAGTAGAAAATTTTAACTGGACAGGCGAGTATTATGCACGTTTTGTGATACCGCTAGGAATGAGTTACGTATGAATATCTCTGTAGAAGTACTATCTTGCGTTTAAAATGATCGAGGCATTATCACACTTCAAAAAGGAGTCACTTGAGATCCCTGATCCCTGTTCTCACTGACACTTAACCAGTTTAATTATTTGTAGCAGCCAAGTAAGGGAATAATGACACATCCATTACCGCTCCAAATAACTTAGCGTAAGTGTCTTCCGTATTGCCAGTGCGTTGATAGATATGAGAGTTTAAATCTTTCTTAACAATGATGATGATGGTGAGAATATGGCGTTCAAGGAGCACTGTTCCTGAGCCATTTGAGCCCATGCAGGCAGATTTGTCAGTGAAATTGATGATTTAACCATCATCTGCACAACGCCAGGCAGACACACAGAGCCAAGTCACTAACAGCGGCTACGTGTTGTTCGAAGGGCGACAGAAGGGAATTCGTCATCTGCTTTCCTTCCGGTGCCTGAGCGATCAACTAACACATCGGAAAGAGAGGGGAAACAGTTGCCCCTCATCGGATGATTGTACCCCTCCCCCCTCCCGTTTCTCCCACCTCATGCACCCAGGGGCAATCATTATTGGGAGCAACAACAGCAACACGTTAAGAAGGAATTTCCATAAATTTTGCATCGAGGAAGCGTGTGCGCCCTTATAGAGCGGGCGTGTAAGTGTGCTGCATTTCGGCTTCATGTGTGTGTGTGTACGTGCTTGTGATCCAGATTTTGGCAAATCCTTACCATTAGCCGTCAGTGGCGTAATACCTTCACCGTGATAATGTACTTCCCTGTTGCCAAGTTTGCTTGTCAGCAGACCTGACCACCTTACGCTGTACTGGTACGAAAGCCGTTGTTAAACTAGAAAAAATATTCAGCTATAGGTATATGTTATAACTGTGAATATCACAGTTAGATAAGCCACTAGCCCATTATTTTTAAGAACTAACAGACGTACGGAGGAGGAGTGGAAGAAAATTTCTTGCTGTCCATGCGAAGCCATTGGTGATAGTCGTCTTCTTTTCGTAGCCGAAGCCGGCGTCGCTGGTTTTTCTTTCCTTGCCTCCTTCGGAACCTCATCTACGTTGGAGCCTGAAGGAGGACTTCCAGTGATGCCGTTGGTTGACGCGGCGATCGAGAAGGCAGTGGGAGCAACAATAGCCGTGGGAAGGCTGGTCGCCGTTGTGCCCATAGTGGACTCTTTCCGAGACAACCCCTTGAATATCCGCTCGTCGGTTGCCTTTTCCAATCTAGCCTCCTCGGGATCTCCGTGTCTCACGGAATCAACTCCCGCCTCTTCTTCCTCGTCCTCGTCCTCCATGTCGAAGAGTAGAACCCGTAATTTACTGTGCTGGTTGGTTGCAGGTTTCTTTTCCGCTGCCTCCTCAACTTGCGTCTGACCTGACAACACCGTGTCCACGAAGGCAGAGGACTCCTTCGCCGGTGTGGGGCAGAAATCGAGCCATGTCGAAGCCTCGTCGTCGGGCTTCTGATCCGGCTGCAGAGCCGCAGGCGCCGGATCGTAGGTCGAAGCTGTGGAGATTGGTGTGTGACTGGCATCGGCGACGTCGGTGACAGCAGACGTCGCGACATTTGCCTCGGAAAACGCTACCCCTCTTGTGGTTGGCAGAACAATACTGCCAGCTTTGTGGAGCTAGGTCAAATAAGGAGTAGCTTAAAGTTGAGCCCTCGTAAATCAGGTTTTATCCTGGCATTAAACACAAACTCGTTTTTACTAATTTGCACAAAAGGAAGCGCAGTCCACTTACGTGGAAAATGGGGGCAGAAATTTTTGCAGATACGACTAAGTCGCAAGATTAATATGCCAGCAAAGCAAACGGAACCATTTGAGGCAAATTTTGCCAAGAAAGTTGGTGTGGAGGAGTTAACGCAAGACTACTAGTGGATGGGAATGCGGACATTTCCCCCCAGAAAACGGCCCAGTTTTCACTTAATTAAATCTTCTAAGTTTACAACCAAAATCGCCGCAATTTTCAGTCCAACCAAGCCATATGCCACACCCCACTTAGTCACCGGACAATTGTGTACTGCTTGGTGGCATTATATGATGCAGGTAATTGCTAAAAATAGGTTATTCGCATTAAAATAATGACTGCGAGGACAAACGTAAAAATTAATGGTCATTAAACGAGTTCCCTGGAATTCAATCAAGGAATACATGGTCATTTCGTGGTACATATTGTTCAAGTGTTTTCCACGCTGCGAATTCCAGCGCCGCCATTACGTGATGCGCGCGTTCACGAATTTTCCTAAACCAAATCAGGACTGACAACTCTCGTTTCACCGTGGTTTGGCACACTTTTTTCGGTAAAACTTGCCCACTTTCTGGACGTGGTCTCAGAAGGGCACTAGATCTGATAGTAAGGAGTACCTACAGGAGTCACTTGCTTGAAAAGCGCAAGTCGAAGGAGGGTTTCATAAATAACCCGGGGAAATTTTTTTTGGGCAGAAAACGTGTCCTCTAGAGGATCACAATTCTGCTGATGTTTAGTGCCGAGGTTGAAATGATTGCTCAGACGCGTGATTGGTCGATCCCAGTATGCTTCGAGAACTAGTAGCTGATGTCATGATTGGTTTCTCGATCTGAGATCAACTCCTGCTATTTAAACTTCCATCACAGATTTGTATAGCGCTTTTTGAGGGGCAGTTGTCAACTAATTTCTGCAAAAATATACCCTAATTGCACTGCCAACATTAAGAATTCACTTCTCAACCTGGTTAAAGATACCAAAATCTTTGGCGATAGCGTAGCTCTCGGAAAGAAACAATTGGCCTTCATTAAATGTTAGCGTTTCTTCGTTGTCATGACAACTAATGGCTATTATCGACCCTATAGTTGGAACTCGAAAGAACCTAGTTATGCCCAAATTAAATTCCCCAAAATTTAAGTGAACGTTTGGTTAAAATGTAATTTAGGAGCACCATCGATTGGTTGATTTAAGCAACATCAACTACCGGGCTGTTTCTGTGTTAGTCTGGCTGTCTAGACTTAGTTTACTGCATTAAATCCCTTTGTTTTATAGCTAAGCCCCACATAATGCTCGCAGGGAACAACTGGGGTTCACAGATGTGATGTGGATTATCGCCAAGAGCACAAATAAAGCTTTCATTTAACTAAGCCTGAGTTCTACTATTTACACTAGGCTAAACTGCTGCAATAGTTGTTAGAATGTAGGCTGTTACGGCAATAATCATCTGGGATGCCAGGAATGGGCTATTGTGAGTGGCTTGTTATGCTCTTTTGGTCTTCTTCGCGTATAATGAGGCATCATTACGCCTCAATTACCATCCGCACCTTTTTCATTACGCATGCATTCCTCCTGTTCTGGAAAAACAAAAGCGTAGAGAATGTGATTTCCAAAAGGAACAAAAGACACCCTCGTGATCTTGAAACAGAGTCCATTCAGTAACGAATTCAGCCATGTCTTATTTGCAAAGCCTTCAGAAAACTTTTTCGAAGAATATATGACATTAGAATTAAATTTCAGAGTCATGCTATCGAGCTGAAACTCTAGGACCTACTCATTTTTTGATATTTAAGCAGTGCTAAGTCTAATGTATGCATGTTACGCTTGCAGAGTAAGTATTTGAGCTGATTCGAGAAGGGTACAAGTGTTGATTTACCTGTTCCCACCCAGCCAATGTCAGTAGCGAAGTGGCATCGGGTTGGGACGTTTTTTGCGCCATCTGCTGATCGATAAAGTCGCCGGAAGCCTGAAGATTAACCGTAGTCGTCTCCTGAACAGAGCTCTCGTCCACCGCGTGTTGAGCCTCAAAGCCGGTTTTGACAACAAGAGGGGTCTGCTTCAGTGGAATTGTCGTTGTTCCAAGAGCCGACGAACCAGTAGTGGTCAGTTGAATTACCGACGCGGAACCACCGGATCCTGGATGCGGTCGAAGAGACAGAGCTGTAGCAGACTGTGGTAGGATGAGCTGGAAGACACGCGCCGACCGAGGAGGTAGTGAAATGCATCCAGGACCGGCGTTTGGTGAGAGCAGATTTATTGAATCCACTTTGTCATTGGCGTACTGGACGGTGCCAGTGGTACCTTCTGGGTGGCCAACGATTATCGTCGCGGCCTGCGTGCTGGGAGCCTGGTGAGTTGGATTGAGAGAAAGGAAACCGCCAGCTTGTGCAGCAGAATCAAACTGAGTGCCCGGCTTCTGTGCCACTCCTATAACCGCACACAGCTGTCGATTCTGCAGGAAAGTCCCAGTGCGGTTCCCCGTCGCTGATTGGTCAAATTGGAGATAAGAGGTCGTTGTAGCGGCAGATCGTTGAGCGAAGAGGCTTTGATCGCAATTTACTGGAGGCGGAAAATGAGAAACATAACATGGCGGTTTACGTTGTACAAGTTCTTAAAACGCTTTCTGCACAAAGTTGTAATTGGTGTTATCCATTTCCTGATTGGAAAATCGAAGATCTCATGAGCAATCTTCCACCACTATCGATATTTGCAACATCGTCGTGCGTAAACCAGTGCCTAGTCCTTTTTGTCTGTTAACGTGCCCACAATTGAAACTGTGTACTGCTTGGCAGAGCTGTTGAGGCGTCTAGACAGTCGCATACAACACGTTTTTCTGCATTGAAATCCTGACGATTGTAGCGCTCGATTCAAACCAGGTGCAAGCTTTGATTTTACTGTTTTAACAAATTAAAGGATCATGGACACAAAAATGATAGCTCGACCAGTTGTTTTTCTGGGCTCTGGAGTTATTTTCGTGCGTTTATTCGTTTATAATTATGTTAATTAGGTAGATGTTTATTCAAGCACAAATTATAGACGTGCTTCAGATGAGAAAGTGCTCCAATTCGGAAAGGGAACTTCATAATCAAGTAAAAGAGGATTTCAAAATTTCAATTTACAGTAAAATGCAATTATCTCTTCCACCACTTGGCTCAAAGTTCCCCAGGACACTTAAATTAAAATTAATTCCCTCAAAATCTGTAAGACGAATAAGTGGGGAAATTAGCGACACTAGCGACTTCATTTAAACAAATAGACTAACGCTTTTGCTTTGTATCAAATTTAACCTTAGTGTTTTCGCAGTTGGAAGCTTAATTAGCAAGGTGTTTGGATCTTATTACAGATTACCGACTCAATACGCATATCTGGACGTAAGATTAGGGTTTGGCTTTGTGTGGGCTGGCAAAATTAGGAAAAAATGAGGAAGAACACCCGCCCCAACCTCTGCAGCTGCATGTCCAGCTCAGGTGCACCACATCGCTCTTCCAAACGGGGAGTGGGGCGCAACACAGGACACGACTGACGCACGAGTGGGCGCTGTAAAAAAATTATGCATTTTTGACCACTCCTGGGTATGTGTGTACTTCATTCTCCCACAAGGCAAATTACCCCGACGAATCCAGCACGGGCGGTACAAGAAAAATGCAGGAAAAGTGTTCAGTTTCGCGCATCTAAGCTGCGGATACACTTTAGAGTTATCGGGTTTGTCGTTGGCGGAGTTTACACATTCCAAATCTGGAGTGGTCACCACAAGTGGTAGCTTTGATATTAGCTAGTAGCCTCAACTCAGATGCGAAGTGCATGCCAACTCACTTGAAGACGTCTGAATGCCGTCGGTTGGTTGTAATTGCAGTTGCTTCTCCCCGAACCTGCCTGCCGCCCCAGTTTCGACAATTTGCAGCCCTCCTGGGTGCGCCGGGAGGAGACCGGTGGGGATTTGGAGTTGACCCCCAGCGTGAGGGCACCGAAGAAGAGTCGGAGTCATCGTGGAACCTGTCGCGAGGCTGTTGATTGTGTGCGGCTGGGCAACTGCACAGGGAGTCAACTCGATGGCGGGTTTAATTGGTGTCGGTCCGGAGACGTACTTGAAACTGGCATCCGTTAACTGCGCACACAGGCATAAAATTAGACGTTTACAAGGAGGAAAACATCTTGCTGTTCTTTTGTTACAGAATAACTCAACAATAAATTCAAGCAATCGTCAATAGGGCTATGGGAAGGGAAGGATTAAACAGCAACTAAGTAGAAGATTAAAAACTGTTTTTCCTATCTAAAAAGCTTGATCACCACCACCACCACCACTAACTGTGCCTTTGGCTTGAGCTGAAGACAGCTAAAGTCTGTTTTCGCATTCGGAGTTACATGATTTAGGAGTAAAATTACCCTTGCCGTAGATTAACACCGGAGAGCACAAACGAACGCCGTGGATAATAATTAGGGCGCTTGGTAGAAAAACGGACAGCTTTTACGGTACTTCGACTGCAAAAGCGCTTGTCCGTTTGATGAAGAAGAAAACTGTTTTTACCTGACTAGAATAACTAAACCTTTAACTACACAAATTTTAAATCTTTAACTTGAGTGCCGCTAGAAATGGCACATCTCCCATATATTTGACAGAGCCTTAAACCTGGCCAAAATTTCGTCCATTCAATCGATTCATTCCCTAACCAATCACTAACGATCTAGTCAGCAATTGGTTTTGAGATTTTTTGTAGCCAAAATAATAACAGCGACGTGGGAATGCCTTGCTTTTTTCTCTGTAAAGTGTTTTCTGTTTTTTATCAGTCAGCAGATAATCTTTATCGTAATCCATCACACCACGATAACTGATGTCAGCTAATGCTGATATGATGCGACGCACAAATCTCATTCCCAGCTAGTTACTTCTTTCCCGCGTTTTTTGAAGGTAATCTAGTTTTCTGGTAGCAACGCTACGCAAGATAAAAAGCTGCTCTTGTGCCGTTCACCTAGCTCAACAAATTTGCCATAGTCTGGTTGGAGCGTTGGTGACGTAATTCAGTAATTTGTGATACGAACCCCTGACCAAGAAATCGCTTGATTGTTACACGCTTTCATTCTGTTCTACCAAAAGTGCATGAAATAAAACATGCCCGGCGATTGCCTGACTTAAAACCAAATTGGAAAATGATACAGTTTGCATAACTTCTTCCCTACGCTCGGCAAGATTTTGATGTTTTTTTGTTGAAACAATAATTTCTCTTTTAAGCATCCTTAGATGGGTCTTGACCTCTTCCTTAAAAGCAAATTCTTACCCTTCATATTATTCGCAGAGAACGAAATAGATGGAATTTTGAAGGAGCACATTTTCAATTCCCAAATTTTTGCAGTGTCTGTTAAGCAACACGTAGTCTAGCGTTGCTGTGGTGAAAGGTGCTGCCTTTTTGACTAACTAGATTCCGGAATTTCGCTTAGATTTCGAAATTGGGTTGGGTGAAACTTCCGTTAACAATTGCCATAGCTTTTGCCCTATCACCAGTTTCCTTTGTCTTTTATGTAATTTTTTTTAAAGTTTAAAATTAACAATTGTTTTGCCTTTGATGTGCATAGATGAATAAACAGGGATGTTGTAGTCGATCCTTGACTAGGGATCTTTACACGACACTTTCGAATAAACTTGACAAAAACATTAAAATCACGACTTTTTATTAAGACAAATCCACTTGACAAGTTGGTTGGGACATTATCTGATTCGAAGAAGGCGTGAGTGATAGCAAATTGCGTGTCTAAGTTAAACACAAATTTTTGTCTAACACATCTGCGTTGAAAGCAGCACCTTCTCCAAGTGCTGCACAAACTTGCGGATCCATGTTTTATTAGAGCTGTGTTTTCTTTTCAAATTTGCCCCTATTTGATTATTTCCACGGAACGAAACTGGTGGAAATTCTATGTGGAAGACGAGGGAAATACAGCAGTTTGTGCTGAAAGACGGTCCCAGTGCTTGTAGTGTCTGATGCCGTCAGAGCGAAAGGTCGTTCTTTTCCGACTGACGAAAGTTCGGCGCTTCGCTTGGAACTGGCAGAATTGGTCACGAAACTTTTCAGGAATTACTTGCCCAAGCAGCGGAAGCTCGTAAAAATTATATTCTTCTGCAATCACCCCGCCAGACACGTAACAGCACTTTTATTGGGCTCAGACATCATCCTTTAAAATGAATTCTGCTCTTTCACCTCACTTAGTTCTTTTATCTTATCGCGTTGTCTTGATCACACACAACTTGTCACCTCGAGTTTTGACTTGTTCGTGAAAAAGTCGGTTATCTAGACGACTGACAAGTGAAAGTGCTGTTAAAACACAATTCAGCTTGTTCTGTTCTGATTCGAAGTGTGTCCATGTTGTTTTAAATGGCAGCCGATGCGTCAACACTAAATTTCGCCTCAATCTCTTTAACGGAGAACAGTTGCATCGGATATTTTTTTTGCATTTCCAATACTCACTTTTTCATGTAACATAACATGGGGCAAATGAAACTCCTCACTTTCCACTTAACCGTTAAATCTTTTTTTTAAGCAAATTTTTTCAAATGGACTTTAGTTAAATTAATGTTGACTCATGACGCACCAGAGCAACCGTTAATTAATGTCATGATTGAAAACAAACCGTGTTCACAGTTAAAAGTGCGTGATTCTGTCATCTACGAGAATCACGCCCAAAATGGAGAGACTTAAAGAGAACTTTGCACTTGCTATTTGACCGTTGGCATGAGCAAGGCGTGGGCTTTGGCGTTGCTGGCAGCTTGGCTTCAATTTACTCGCCGATCAATGGTGAGTTGAGACAAGTGGGGCTGGCCTAGCGTAACCTCCGAACAAAAACGCCCTAGCTAGATTGACTGACTTGCTGCTGCAAAACTGGACACCTTTTGAAATTGCTTTATTCAAAATCAGCATTTGAATTAGCCAAGGTCTTCCAGCGGATGTCTAAAATTTGTGTTTTTACACATTCGCGACTCGGCTTATCCGTCAAGTGAGCCGGCGTGAGAGAGTAATTATTCATTTTTTTCAAAAACATCGTGTGAAGTAAGTTGTCTTGGGCTAGCTGAGGACTGTGAGTCTGATCGACTGTCAGTAAAACTCACGTCACAAACTTGAGAAATGTGACAGTCGAGAGAGCTATTTCGTCAAGACGTCCAGCTCACCAGCGTTAGTTGGGATGTGGTGTGCTGACAGAGCACCTGAGGGCGACATCAGTGGGCTACTGGGTAGATTAGTGACTTCAAACACAAACCCACAAAAACGTCCATGGTTCGCACACTTTGTGTGGCGGCCACCCGTCCCACTCCATGAAACAAAATCGTGAATACTTTTTCTGTGTTCGGTTACACAACGCGAGTGCATTTGTAGGCGTTGTGTGGTGCAATTTTGACACCAGAACACAGTTGTCAGGGCTATTTTGGTTGTGCATATCAGGGGCAGAAAATAGTTTTGTAGTAGCCAGACCACAATGTTAAATTTACAATAAAAATTAGTCGGTGTGCTACCATGGTTCGCAGCTGACGCACGCACACGAACCAATTCCCCAAGGGAGATTCCTGGTTGCCCTTTTCTGTGCCTCACTGAATTGGTGTAAACCTGAAGTCGAGGGGGCGAAACAGGCCAATTTTCAGAATACGGAGAATTCGCTATAAAAAGGGTTTTTTGAATGCCATTACGAATCGTGGGGTGATGCGACTGTTGCCGACCTACTGCGATTTGAACCAATAAGTAGTTGGAAGGAGAAATTGCCTGCTAAAGCACGCTGTTCACAGTTTCGTGTGAGCGTGTTTAGCGACCGGCAAAAACACACCGACTATCGTATGTAAAGCTTCGTCTTTTTAATGTGATAATGCACCAATGAAAAGTGGTGCATTAGTTAATTTTAAGCTAAAATACATTCCCAAAATGCACACATTTCTGCCAATTTTCCTCCCGAAGTGTCGGTAAAATCATTGTCACTGTATTCGGGTCATTTGAAGATGCAAAACATTTTATCTCGCATTTGTAATTCAACTGTTGGATTTTAAAACAATTTTTTGCGGTAATACTTAATCTAATGCAAAGCGGGCACACTGAAATGAATGACAAAACACACATTTCCCGCCAACTTGTTTAATTTTTACAGTGACAAAATTCGTACACAGGAAGGATGGAGTTTCAATCGATTGTTAGCCATGATGTCGATGCTGGGAGTGAATATTTGGTCAGTTAAATCAAATGATCCAAGCAATTACAATTCTCTACTCCTAGGTTGATCATGCGAACAACCAGGAATTTTAAACGAACTTCAGATAGAACACAGTTCTTAGAAAGAATTGTTGCAGATCTTTGGGTTTGAATAAAACTTAAATTGATCTTAAAGCACTACACAGATGAGTTGTTTAACTTACTAACCGGACTGAAATTTAACTCAACAAGACTAGCAATGACCTTGGCCGGACCAACCAAATCGCAGCTTAAAGGGAGGATGCAAGTTACGCAAATGCTTTTGGAATGTTGTCAGTTCTGTTATCACTAACAGAAAAAGAAATAAGTTTAATACTCACAACTAAGGCGATATCGCAAGACAGTGTGCAGACAAACATTTTATCGCAATACTCAATCCTAGTGCTGTGACAGAACAATAAAGTATGACTCAGGAACGAGTGAATGCTTAGGAAATTAGGCTGGGAATCCACCATTAACCCCAAAAAGAGGTTTGGCATTTTTTGGGGCACTCTAGCCACCAAAGACTTGATCAGCCCTTCTCCATCCTTTTTTGTTTTACTGGTCCAGCAAACTCGCAGCGCGGCAATTTCAATTTCAAACCCCACGTGCCAGCTTAGCAATCGTGCCATGTTTTAACGTATCTGACACCCCTGGGTGTTGATCCAGACGACAAAAACCAAGCTACAATTGGCCAGGTGTTGTTTTCAGCGTAGACTGCCGTTGTGACATCAGAGGCAACAGAATTCTGCGGTCGATTCCATCACCCGCGCTTTAACAGGCAGCAGCAATTTAATCGCGTGCAGAAGGCTCATTTACAAAGGCGGCGTAAACAAAAAGAGGATGAGTGCGTGGGCAAAAAAGCTAAAGAGCTGGGTAAACAACACCAAGGAGCTATTTTTAACCCTTCTTTTAACCTCCAATCGATAAATTAAACGCGTGGCATCTCCAATTTACTTGGCCACGGTGTATTTAACTTTGATTCTACAACTTAATTGGGTGCTTTTTGGTATTCTATGCCTGATGACCTCTGTACTAAAAACAGCCAAAGGTTTTTATGCAATTTAACACACCCAGGCGAAGTGAATTGGATAAATTCGCGCCCTGACCAGTTAGAGTATCATGTAGATTTCCACTGCATATGTCCAGTGTTAATTTGCAGCTGATGCGAAAGTGCATTACCAGAGGAATGAGATGCTTCTTCTCATTCGTAGCTATATTCAGTGACATCGAAGAATAAATAGCCCTTTATTGGAACTTAGAAATAGTGGGAGGTATTAAACACCGAATAAAAACCGGCAAAATGCACCTAGTCTCTATCAGTTGGGTACAGTGACCTTGAGAAATAAATGCTATCTATTAAAACAACGAAATATTCCCTGATTTGCGGTTAGCAAATTAAGTTATGCAACTGCATTAAAATGATTTGGCGTGGACGTCCGCATGAATACATATATGCCCGCCCTTATGACGATTTGATTTGGATAAATCACTGCTTTCCAACTGTCAGTTAACATGTTCTCGCGTGGACTAGCTTGTCAGAGTAGAAGGTCCAATAAGGAAGCAAAACTAGCAGTGTGAAAAAACGGCTCAATACGGGAGTAACCTCTTCTCGCTCCAGTGGGCAAAAACGAGGTTGCTTTTGCAAGTTGAATGAAGTGACGGATTAAAACACGCGCAAAAAAATAAACCAGATTTAAAGTTTTGCATTTAAAAAGAGTTGGGTCACCTGACGACTTAGGACAAGGTCCGGAAGCTCACATTCAAAAAAGCAACACTTCCTTTTGGCCTGATTTTGAGGCTGTTAACAAGGGAGACATATCAGTACAAAGCAAAGGCATGCTTCTTACGGAATGCTGGTCCAGCTTGCCTCGTGTCGGATTCAAGACGCCGGAAGCTGTGGTGATGGAGGTGTTGGGTAGAATAAATGCCGACGATCCAGACCTTCGCTCCACGAGGGATGACTCAGATACTTCGGGCTTTGGAAATGATCTAACCAAAACGCAATTACAGAAATTTTTTTGGAAACTCGACTTTGTTTAAATGAGCCACAAAAGAGCCCGCCATCCCAGTGTCTATTTTGAATCTTCTAATTTAAAAACTAGGGCGGAAAGGCAAGTGTGTGTGAGAGAGACGTCCGACTCTCCCAGCGTATTGTATCGTTGGGGTGTAAAAACGGAGACAAAAAGCTAGATTCATTTCCTTTTTAAGGTGCTAGACACAAACAAACACACACACACACACTGTTAGCGTGTCTCTTCACAGAAAAAGCTTATATGTGGACACTCACACACCGTTAATGCATTTTATTAAGTCATACAACGCTCAGAAAAGAGAAACCAACTGTAATAAGATTACGTGCAAAAACGCGGTGACAGTGACGCTGCTTTTCCTTGCACTTCGAGTAATCGCTTTTTGCCAGGTTGTTTTAATGAAGGTCGTGACCTTGAAATGCCTAGGAATTCAAGTGCTATAGGCTGTAATTCGTGATGGAAGTGATCAGACTTCTGTGTTGTAATAATTAGGTAATAATTTAACTTCTAGATTGTCGAGGCGGTGCAAATTGACACGTGAAACTCACAGTTTTCTGAGCCGCTTGGCTTCACGAAGTTGTTTGACAAGTAGACCGATGTCCTGGGGTCGCTCGACCTGACGTTTCAGCCCCATTGAATGCAGCTAAAATTTAAACAAAACGTTGGACGTTACACAATCCTCTCCTCCAAAATCACGACACCACGGCGTGTGTAGCGTGAGAGCCCGGGTGCCTGATTTAGCATGACTGGAGCTTGATCAAGGAACAACCATTTCCAGCACTTCAGGTATTAAATCAGTTGTAAATAGTGCTGGAAGCGTTCACCCTTTTAAAATTGGCTGCATCACAGCGATTTCAAAATCATGGCAGGGGCGTTTCCTTGACTTTACTGTTGAATGGTTGATTTACTCTCCGCTTCTGTGAATGTGTGCACAAATACTTTTTAGATACCTGTCAAAAAAGACGGGTAATACCCCTACCCCCTCACCATCGCCTTTGTGTCCCTCCGACTCTGCAACAGGGCAACTTTTTGACTGACTTATTCTTGGGGTTAGGGTGCGGGCAAGTGTTCGTGTGTGTGTGTGTGTATGTGCCTAAAGTGTGATCGTCTACTTTCATGTGTGTTTTTTTGCTGTCATGACCACGGCATAAATATAGCGTGTGTGGACGTGTGAACACGTCCCATTTCCTGCCTGAAGCAGGTCGGGACAAAATCGACCGTGGTCTCGCATTGGAAAAAATTCGAATGACATTTCAAAGGGCTACCGAAACTGGCTTCTTTCCAATGACCAATCACGTGAAACTGGACAAAAGATCCATTCATGGGGTTCGAAATTAGAATGACAGTCCATTGAGACAAATCAAAAATCAAAAATAGCAAAATATTCGGTTTTTTGCGAATTTTGTCTATTTGACTTGGCTGAAATTGGGTGATTGTGCCGTTTTTAGTGTACAATCAAGAGGGGAAGTTAGTTTATTGGTGGTAAATGGATTTGGTAAAAACCGTATCGGAATGAAGAGTCGTGATTGGTGGATTCAAGAAGGTAGCACAAAAATACGATGGGATTACTGCAAAACCATAGACAAAGCTGCGCTTTACTAAAGAAATACTTAAAAATGCGGCACGTGTTGATAATTGGTTTCAGTTATCACATTTTACATTCATAAGCAAACCCAAAATGGCTATTAATTAATTTTTAAATCAAAATATGGAAATCCGAAATCCCACTTTTGTTTGTTTAAATGTACTAACCACGTGCAATGCAGCATTTGCACACGTGGTTCAAAAATTTCGCTGTACAAGATAATTACACACTCCGAGGTTAGAAACAGATACGGTTATTATTGCCTTGCATAATTTAGGCTTAAAATCTTTCTTAAAGAAATAGAATCCACGTTTTGTGAAACCGCTTGGGAACTGAAAATGTGGAATCGTCGAATGATAGCTAGAAAATCCAGCTTCGCCGCACTCACTTATGCTAAAAAACGACTAAATTATCAAACTGTTTGTTTGGCGATTGGGTGCCCTGCTTGCATTGCAATTAAAATTTGATCTAACTTTGATCTGGGATCCGTCAGCAATGCTGTCTACCTGCTTTTAGGAAGTGACCGTCATTGTACACTCCATTTCGACAATGCACCTCGTTACTTGTCACAAACAGTATACGAATAACAACTGAACAAAGGCAGATCAACAAATTGGTGTAAGCAAATGAAATTTGGCACGTTATAAGCATCTTAATCGGGAATCCGAAGAAAACAAGTCATATGCGCATACCGTTGCTTACCGATCGCCTTTTTGAATTCTAAAAAATGGGAGGGTGTACGCGAAAAGTCGAGTGGATCAGACAGTTTTGTTGACTGGGATCGCTTAAGTCGTAGAGGCACTAACAAGCGCAAGGCAGTTTGCTTTTGCTGCAGGGCACGATAAAACGTTTCACCTTGAAATAAGAACTTACTAATTTATCGCAGATTGCAATTAATGCGTTCCACAGTACATTCATTTATCTTGCCTCTCCAACTACAGGGAGATCAGAGATCAAGACAAACGAGAATCGCATTGCACACAACGTCGTGATATTCATCAAAACGAAAGCAGACTTACGAAAAAATAAGAGTCCTTTTTGGTTATAAATTTTGGGACTCAGAATGTACCGAATCTCTTGTCAGTGATATTATGAATGTGACAGAAGAGGAGAAGGAGGAGGAGGATAAAACGTATGTCAAGATTCTGTACAATCTACCACAGAGTGAAGGGTGCTCTAAGTTAAATATGTGTTGCTTCGTTTTATGATAACTTTACGGACCCATGGCATGGAGGCACACCACTAGATATAGAGAGATGCCCGAGATGCGTAATACAAGAGGCAGTTATGGTGCTAAACGCCTTCTACATCTGAGAATTTTTTAAGGAACCATCATTCCAGATGGTTATAGAGACCAGACGACGTCTTGAATTCAAATGGACCTCTAAGGGCGTTTATTGTAATCAACTTTTGTCAAAATATATAACTTGAGAAGCCTCAGATCGATTTTATTGTAGTTGATCTTGAATTAGAGCCAAAGCACATTTGTGAAGCGAGTTATTTTATGGCCATTTAGAAAAGGTTCATTGGAGTAAAATTCTCAAAACTGGGCAGCCAGGAGAATCGCGTTTTAGTGCTTGCTACCCACAACGATTTGAGCGAAAGCAAGTGAAGCGAAGGCCACTCCTCTCTCGATGCCCGAAAATCACATTAGCGCCGACAAACGAGGGCGTTACTGGCAGTGCCCGCTTATTTTAACCCCAAACTACCTAGCAGGTGGTTGGGTTTTGCATGGTTTCGTTGTGAATAGCTTTGCTACCTACCATGGCCGACCTTGATTCGTTATTTCTGTCATACTCGTTGCTACAGGGATTGGCGGACTTATTCAAAGCAGTTTTCATGTTTAACCACTGGTTCACGGAATTTCGATGAAGTTTATTTGCGTGATGATTGGACTAGTGCAGAATAAGCTCTTTGACACCTCAGACTAAAGTGCGTATTATCGTAAACAAGGCTAACAGAACAGTTGTGGCAGCAACACGAGTAGATCCTGGCTGCGACAGGCGTCAAGTCGTTATCCAGTGCTTTAGTATTTTTGTTATCGTTTGACGACTGTCTCTTCCGGGGGCTACCGGATAGATTGGGGCGTGGAATCAGGAAGCCCCCACAACACACCACCGCTTCCCCCTCACACTGATGTTGCAGGCGTCCCCGCCATCTGGCCGCCAGGTTAAAGTGTTTAGGGGTACAAGTATATTCCGGTGCCTTGTTGGCTCCGCTCTTGTTAAAGTGTAGCTTAAATAATTGCAGGCAATTTGAGTGAGTGTTTGCTCTTTCGAACAGTGGATCCTGTGCCTCATTGTACCCCAATTATCCCTAGCAGCCAACTCTGTTTGCGATGGTTGACCTCGAAACTAATCGTTCCGGCAAGCATCCCAATTCAATGCAACTCCCGATCAGTTGGTTAAGCACCGAATGAGGAATAATGCGATTTCGGCACAGATCGAGCCACTCCCGTTCTAATTGGACTGTGAGAACTGTTTGGGGCGCTCTACTAAAGCCGATTTAAACGTAATTGCGAGACATTTTGCTAATTGGTTAAAAAAATTACCACACCGCCACGGCGCGTTTACTTGCACCGAAAAAAATGCAGGTCAGTTCTTTTGACGGGTGGAAAACATTTGCACGACCGCACGTGCTCAAATTAGGCGACACCACAACTCGCACGAAGCCCCCTCATAAACCCCATTACAGGGATTCGTGTTAAAAGTCGCATGACTCATCACCGCCAGCTATAACTTACTCACTTGTGAATGCTTCAGGTAGTTTTATAATGGCAAATGGCATGTCTGAATTGTCGGCACCTACAAAAGAACGGGCATTAATTTTGCCAAATTTACTTCCCAGATCGATTAATTAGTGCATTATCCACGGGAAACCATCTGCAGATTGCGGGATTTAAATTTACAAGGCGGAGGAAGTAAATGGAGAATCATAATTGATGTACAACCGCGCGTAGCCAGTCGCCTTGGCTGCAGGCAAAAGTCCCCTGTCGGGCTTTGAATTTAGAAATCTAATTGACGTTTTTGATGGAGCGGAAATCTTGAATCTTCTAATTCTCCTGTTCAGTGTGGAGGAAACGAAGAACTGTGCTTTAACTTCGAGTTTGTTGATTGCAATCACGACTAGTTTAGTATACAAAAAAGAAACTTCCAGAGCGGTAATTTGGCGACCAGTGCAATGTAATGCGGGTGCTGAATACGCCAGCACGAATTGAGATATTTTCCGGTCATAATCACTCACAACAATTAGGACTAATTCAAGCCTGACCAAGTCTTGTGCTTTAAATCAGGCAGGGGATTGCAACATTACCCAGGGTCGATTGAACCACCTTCCCAGTGCATCCGGATTCCCACCAAACGCTAATTCGGCTTCGCAAAATGTGAAAAAAGACGATTACCCAGTTCCCATAACTAGCTTGACGTGGAATACATACAGCACACCTGACATTCATAAAATGCAAATAAATATGCCTATCAGACTGACTAGATGGCGCTTCGCTGCAAGGCTTCTGCGTTCATAGTTTAAACTCGAGTTTTTTTATTGAAAATCACTACTCTACTAAAGTGCTTATAGGCCTAGGCAAGTGAACACGCTTTTTGACTTCAGTAGCACGATGAGGGGAAATGTTCCACCCATGAACAATTATTGACCAATTCGAGATGGAGACCTTGACCCAACAACCAGACAATCAGGAATTGGGGGACATGAATCTCTCACTTTAGCTTCATTCAACTGTTAGGCAAGCCGCTTCCAAGGGATTTGGAAGGATGTGAAGGAGTTTGGGACTACAGGAGTGGAATGTGCCCCCCTGGTGGTTCGTCTGTAAAGTCGATTTCCTTCCACGTGGAAGTCATCCACAGACGCAGGGGTACGCGCACGTGAATGCCACAGATAGCAGAACACCACCCAGTGATTTATGGTGAAACATTAAGTGTCAAGTCAGCTCGGTTGGTTTCTGGGGCGGTCGGTATGTAAACCGAGGTTGGCGGGGGGTAATAGGGCATGTGGAGCCATGCATACACATGTGGATACGCGTGCTAGTCAGATAACTCACTTTGCAAAGCAGACTCCGTCGACACACTGTGCCATCTCGCTGAACGCCGCAGTGGAGACGTGGGTCAAACGGCCCTAAAAGTGCAATATGGTGTCTCAGATCGACGTTACAAAGAGCAACCCTGAAGAGCAATCTTAAAGAGTCTTAGTAATCAATCAAAAGCAGTCTTCTGTTGACATTTGCAAGCAAGGTACACAGTCTGAGTGTTTGGATGCGTATAACAGGAAAAAATGAAACACTACGATGCATTTTGCTGACCAGACGAAGCCTAGTGTGCTCGCCCCTAATCATTTTTCGGTGCAGTGATTGGGATCACTAGCAGAAACACAACAATCCAGGTCCTCTGCTCCACCATTTTTAATTAGACACCTGTCGGATGGCAACTGAGGCCAAAATAACAGAGAGCTCGCTCAAGCTAGCCTTGCATTTGGCAAGTTAATTGCATTTTGCCTCTGGTGGGGACGGAGAAGGACGGGGAGGAAGAAGGGGGTTGTGTGGGTGATGAACCCTCTCAACCACCCCTGCCTCCCTCTCTGGCCCTCTTTTTAACCTCGGCAGTGTGCACCCTGCCAGCTTGAGGACGTGTCCAGGATGAGGACAGCTGCTCCGCTTACAGCCACCCCCCAGTTCGTTAGCTGGGCCAACTAAATATGCTGAGTGTCATCTTTAAGTGTGTTTACATAAGGCCTGACTCCGCGTTATTAAGTATTAATAATTAATTGAGTCAACCAATGGTGCCCACTTTGATTTGGGGTCACCGATAACTTAAATGTGACCTTGTGGGATGGTCCTCTGACCAATTGCGGCCTTGGGATAGCTACACGCCCTCTCAACATATTCAGAAACCTACTTGAAGTGTTTAATTCAATTGCTTATGAAACGAAATCACACTTTTGTGCCCAGTTGGAGGATGTGTTTATGCTTAAGATAGGCATTCACCAACAGCGATTTAACTAGCTATTTTTAACCCCAGCTCTCATTGATCACGTCTAACATTCCAGTCGTAACCTTGATGCGCCCAGAGTGAAGTACAGACAACCCGGGGGGATGGGTGTGAATTTAGAGACACAGTGACACGGAAGCGTTAAAAGGGTTGACGCTGGAGCACAAAACTCTTTACAAAACCAACCATTTAACAACCAACCAGTTAGAGGAGATGGCGTTAACGCATTCTTCTTTTCATTCACTGCTAAACAGTCCAAAACGGGTGTTAATGACAGCTGTATTTGTTCTTCACTAGAGCTTGCAAAGTCTCGATCGCGATTTAATGCATTCATGGAGGTGTAGGGGAGCAACTGCTTCGGGTGCATTGCGCTTCGTCAGTGCCCCTGGACTTGACAACTGCGTAAAATCATGATCAAACGTCAAAAATGCCATATAGACACACAGGTCCTGCAGATATAACGCTTAACGCTCCCCTGAGTGTCAACGTGGATCAACTATGCTGCAACGCACAGATCTCAATAAGAAACTCGACTATTTTCTCAGAAAAATGCGCTATTTTTAGCCTATTCTTGCGTGGAGGTGGCAAGTCTATTATGACAGATACCAAAATGTCATCTTGCAGTTACTGACGCGCACCAGACGTGCCACGAGATGACATTTGAACCAGGAAATTCAGCCCTTTTGGCAAAGCGTTCTATGTTTCAGGGGACGACTGATTGTAAACCATTTTGCCAAAAAACGGGTACTTTTTTTCAAATTATTCCCATGTCGCTTTGGCTAAGGCAAAATTCACATAAATTATTCATGTAGATTTAATCTCTATTTACAGCTGGCATTATACTTGTGGGAAAATTTTGGCCGTCAGATTGGAATGCTCACTGGTGAACTTGTAGTTAATATGCTTTCGATTATCCCCTAGTTAAATCAATATGCAGGACGTTCAAGTATGACCCAAACCGTATTTTGAAAATTTGATTTAAAACTGTAATATAAATCTTCACTTGTAAATTTTTAACAAAATCCTGGGATCGAATACGTCTGAGTTACCCTCGATATTTATTGATTCAAAATGCACTGACATTATTTTAAGAATGCGAATCACGTCCAGACTCTAGTAGTTGGGTCACAGCTGGTTACCAGTCATGAGAACATGTTAGAAAGCTTTCAGGCTGGCAAATTTTTCGAAAAAGACAGAGCCAATGAGTTGGGCAGGTTGTTAGAATGGAAACAGCAGAATGTGCTTGCCGGTTTGTGGCGTGCCTCCGGCAGCGTTAGTGGTATTCTACTATCATTTCCATCGAATCGTAACTCTGACTCAACGCTCGACGTTGGACCACACATGCCCGCATCCCGCACGCACTAAGCGTTAGTGCCAATCGTTTTTTATGTTTTGATAGAATATATTTGCTCCCTTGTATTCGTGACATGGATTTGAACACACTGCGACGAAGCCATGGCTGAAGATGCCGCCCAATTGTCAATGACCCATCTCACTTCCTGTCGACTGGTGTGAAGGAGATGGTTTGTTGAGGGATTCAGCAGCCACCACCACTCCAAACGGGTCCGAGAGACTAGGAACACCTGTCCGACTGCTTCAGCATCCTTTCACCATCCCGATATCTTTTTTGTGGGTGATTCCGCTGTCTAGGTTGCTTCGTGGACGACATGGTAGAACGGTTAGACAGACAAAATCCACCCAATCTATCACAACCGTGTAGCAATCGCCTGGATATGAGGTAAAAGTCGGCTTCCGAATTCGTCAGTAGAAGTTTTTCAAGGCCCATTTTAGCGCAATCAAAAGCACTCAATTTTAGCGGCATACCACTAAGCCTCCAGTAACTATTTCCACCACTGAATTGGCATAAAAAATGACTTAAACGTTACATTACATCGTAGAATGTGTCATTTTTTCCACTTTACTTCAAAAAGCTGCTAGTGTATGTCAGGGTTCGCCTAAGACTGTCTAGTTCCACAATTTCATATAAAAAACACAAGTAATGGAAATTCATGGTGTTCTACAACGAAGGTCTGACCTTAACACACTCTGAGTTTTTTTTTGCTGCCAGTTGCAAAAATAACTCGGAAATACTCAGTAGAGACAATGGGCATTGGCTGAGTTTTTGTTAGACATGCTATTCGTGCTAGCCAGTGTTCACATTAAGAACCGCAGTCGGTATTTGCATGGAAAGGTTAATGGGGCCACAATTCATGGCGTTGGCTCTGACACACCTACCTACCTAACTACCTACCAACCTACCTCACCTCCACGCGTGAGTCACCTCGGCCAACATTTCGCGTTCTCTCCCGACTGGGTGTCGGTCGACGCCGGTGTTTATTCGTTTGAATCGTGCCACCCACCCCTCCCCCCTCCTCACGCTCCTTCGTGCTAGCCACAATCTTGCTAGGACTCTGTGATCCCCACACAGCTGCTGTCAATATTGCCACACATTCATGCTCAACACTTCAGTCCCGCTTCAAACGGATCTCTGCTTGGCAAGCTCGTCAAAGCAGTGGCAGGAAGAACGGAAATTCATGACCACGACGCAAGTTTGTGGTGTTGCGGTAACACCTCAGGTGATTGCGTTACCGCGTACGGAAGCCACAATGAGTCACCGCAAGCACCTTAACCTCTCTTCCACATCTGGGTAACGGCAGTAGCAGCAGCAGCAGTCAAGTTTATCCACACCAGCTTTTAACCAACTACCCCACCCCGAGGCCAACTTTTTCGATAACTGGGGTTTTACCTTTAACATTGGAAAAGAATGCCTAATTTAAGGCTGGTGGTTTTTGATGAGCAAAAAATTGGACAAAAGACAGATGAAGATCGTCATATTACACCTGACGATGAGTCACGATCTCTGGCAACGTGAAGACGCTTAGATTAGGCTCAATTATTGCTGGGGACTTAATGCTCACGACATAGGGATTATATTAAATGAATTGAATCGAGAGGGCATTAGAAAAAAACCAAACATTGGAGGCTTGTCAAACACCGCTAAATCAAGAGACGTAGACTTACATAGATGCAGTGGAAGAGATCCGTTCAGACAGTCCACAGAACGTTTCGAGCGAGAACTACCTTCAGTCTTAGATGACTTGGAATCCGTAGGTGAGGTCGATTTAATATGCCCTGTCGCGGCCACGGTAACTGGAACAGCAGCCGCTTGCTCAATGTGGAAGTTTGCCTGAGGAATCTGTGACAGCAGCTGTGATTGCTGTTGCTGCTGTTGTTGTTGTTGCTGCTGCTGCTGTTGTGGATGAGATACCTCTACTGGCACACCGACCTCAAACGCAGTCTGACCATTGCTGGATTCGGGGAGATACGTTTCTAGACTGGAGAGCAAGTCATGCGGTTTCAGCACCGGCAGACTCTCGCCCGCTTCCCCATCAGCGTAATCACATCCGGGAAGGTCTAAGGAATCCCAAATTTCCCAATCAAGATCTGTGGTATTCCCTGCCACAGTGTGTTCTGCCCAGCCATTTGAAGCGTTGGACGTGGCCTGGTCTGACACACTGGTCGCTACTGTATTCATTGGGGAAAGAATTGGCAGCTTTTCTTCGGACTTCTGCTCGTCCATTTGGCGACTTACTTGTGTCTGATCTGTGTCTTTTTTGTCTGCAGCCTGGTCACCCTGTTCACCGCATACTTCATCCAGTTCGACGATCGAGGCAACTGCCTGCTCCACTTCGACATCGTTCTCGCCGTGTAGGCGAGCTGGCGTCATGTTGCTAAATCGCACTAAAATTGGCATGCTAGTTGGTGGAGATTTAATCTCGTAGTTCTTTGCACTGACTGGCTGTTCTTGATTGGCAATGCACTGAGGAGCCTCAGTGGTATTGAAAACACTGGAATCGACTGAATACGTAGAGGAAGAAGATGCTGAAGGCAGGGTGAAAAAATCGGGTGACGGGGTCTCAAGGGTGTGAGATTGACAATCTGAGGTTTCCGATCGGCCCATGGCAAGACACGTCTCCGACTCATTTAGGGTCGATAAATAAGCGTTTGTTGGGTGACTTAATGGCTGGCCAGGCAGGACTACGTTGGAAGGCTTCTGGTTCTCGGCATATTGAGTGGAATGCAATAGATCATTGAAGTAGGCATTTGAATCCTTCAAGTCTGCAAAGGTGATATCACTGCTGTCGTATAATTCCGAGGTGTCAGGGAATATATCGTAGAAGTCAAAAAAATCTGATGCTGAGTTTGCAGTGTTGGATTCGGCTGCGTCAGGAAGTGGTTGGTTTATTGAAACAGCCACGTTTGTACTGGAGGTGGTGGAATTGAATGAATCTGTCGCGTTGAAGGATCCGGGTGTCTGATCACAACCACTATCTCTATCCCAACTTTGAGGGAAGCACTCTTGCAGCATGTTTTGTCGATAAGGATCAGAAATAATGTACGAAGGTTCCTGGATTTCCGTGGGTGTACTTTTCAGAGGGTCACGGAAAATGTCTTCGGATGATTTAAATGAAAGACTATACTCCGGACTCGAATGTGAAGTCGGAACACTGGAAGTTCGGTCGGAGGTGATTAGGCATGAATTTGATGAGGCTGCGGAGATGCGTTTGTCGATGTCGCTATTAGTATGGATAGGTCTATCCTTTCGGTGACGCACAACTTAAGAAAATAATTACACTAAGAGAAAAACTTACAGAAGTGTTCTGCAATGCGACCTAGTAGAATAAGTGAGTTGCAGAGTGTACACAATACCAATTCCGCCCCGGCGTCCAATTTAACAAATATGCGCTTTTCCTTTGATGTATTGGGTAAAGGCAGGTCTAATAAAAAAATTGAAGAACCTCATTTTTAAATACCTGCGTCGTGTAATCTGGCGAGTTCCCAGGGGTTTCGTTCGGTCATGAGCCACACACTACATGTAAGCTGACAAATAAGGAGCCAGCTGTATCTGGACGAATCCAGAGAAAAACACTACGTGTTAGGTAAATTTAGGAGTAATACCAAGTAGATAAATTGCAAGCATTGATCCTGAAATTAGTTTTAATATACACAAAATGACATGATTTATTACTTAGTTATTTTCGATTGCTATAAAAAATTGTCTTTGCCAAGATTTTAGCGCATATTTAATTGAAAAGTTGCAGCAGATTCGGACATTGTTGTAAATAACCCTTTTTAGCTAATTCTGTAGTTTATGTAGGACAACCGGTAAAAGAGCGAAGGATGAGAAGAGACAAAAAAATGGCATTAAAATAATAAGGTTAGTAAACACCAAGATTCTAGTAGCGTTACTGAGTAAAAAAGAATTTACATCGATTTTGCACATTTTAAGCGCTTTAAAAGACACGATTCATGCCCGTGTGGTTGTTCTGCTAGATATGCTATTGAGCAGCTAAATTCGTCAATATAATAATGCACATGAAAGTAAAATTAATTTAAAAAAAAGCTAGCTATGAAGTTTTTACAACGATAAATGCACATTTGAAAATTGAAAAAATGTAATTACTCTGCACAAAACAAGTATAAAAAGGATACTTAAATGTAAGGAGATGCCAAAGATGTCTGCTTCAGAAAGAGGGACCAAAGCAAAAAACCCCCATTTATTAATCTGAAACCGACAGCATACGAAACCAGTCACCACAAAAAAAACACATATTGAATTTTTCATAATTTCAAAGGCAAAAGAATTCGAAATTTTCTTATTTCATTCGGTTACACAGATAAAAATTCAAAAGTTACGTATTTATAAAAATGCGCTCATAAGTAAAAGATTTACTATATCGAATAGCTCTTACTTCTCTAAGCAGGTATTCCTCGAGAAATCAAAATCATCTCAATTCCGCAAAACGTTTTTGGCTGGCTAAGAGTAATAATACTTTACGCATTAAAACAAACGTAGGTCAGTTAAACTAAATTTTTTTTAAAAATAACTAATATCATAAATGTTGTCATCTATTGTAGTAATGCGTAATAAATATTAAATTACCATTTTAAATCGCAGAAATTTTCCTAGGCAAAATGTGGTTTTGTCAGAATTGCCGAAGAAGAGATAAATTAATTTAAAATGCATTCTTAGAGAATACACAGGCATTTCTACATTTTTTTAATAGTATTTTAACTTTGATTAAGATTTCCTGACACCTCAATACACGTTTCCATGCCAAATTGTATACTTAATAATGGCACTGAAATGAAATTCAAGTGTGTATTTCAAACCACCTTATCTCTTTAAAATACAATACTAACTTTGAATATCATTTTATTGAATATCGAAAAGCTTTTTTAGAATCCATCAGTAAAATAATGTTTTATACCATTTATCTGCAGTTGTACGTTTAATTGTGAACATTCGACGGTAACTAATCAATTTCTTAAATCCATTGAAAATGCAAACGGTTACTTATATTTTAAAGTTACCATTAAATAAGAAGCTCACTATTTTTTTCTTCCCCATATTGAAATTAAGTCGAAAATCAGAACGAATTGCATATTCAAGTTAACTAAATTAATGTGCCAAACTGAAAATCACCAGAAAATTTAATTGCCCTGCATATTGAATTGGAATCTTTTAGCTATCATGAAAGAAATAATTTCCGTTTGTTAATTGCAACGCAACTGATTGTTAAATTATGACAAACAAACAGAATTTTGTGATGAAAAATGAAGACTTAACTTAAGAATTGTGTGCAAAAGGCGTAATAACAAGTAAAAAGGACACCTTCTTTATAAATAGAGGGAAGCCATGAGTCTGATTGATGAAGCAATTTATTTTCACTTTTATAAACTATACATAATACGGAAACTGTTGGATTACAAAGACAAATTGGTTGGCCAGAATGTTGAATTCATTTTGGACGAATGAGCAGCGAGTATGCTATATTTAAATTTGTTTTTTTTAAGCAAAATTGCTAGCACATATTAATGACAACCTATTCTAAAGAGTTTGGTGAGGTGCAAACATGCACAATTCGTGGTGTCAAAGAAGCCTTATTCGATTCAAAATGTGGATGCATGCTTCGGCCCCATTGCATGGTCAAGAAGAGTGCAAGACAAAATGGAGTCCTTTAATAAAGGCTGAAACAAGTCACAATCTGATCAGACATGAGGAAGAAAACAAGGTCTTTATATATACTTGTCCTGATTTTCCGGTTATTCCGGTTAGCCTGTTCCGCGGCGTCTTAAGTGGAGCGATTTGGCTCCCAGTTCCCTGTGCGACATTCAATGCCCACGTGACGCCTCGAAGCCGGAAGTTATGCCTTCGGTTACATAACATCGTCGACGCGCCGTGCTGTTTACCTTCGACTAATGACTGGGCGAAAAGATGGCGACTATCTGCCATTCCGCCACACTGCCTCCCCCCCAAGACCGAAACCGACCCTAGCTTCTCATCTGGTATCACTGCCGCTATCTCAATCTTGTGATATACAAGGGGTGGTTCACAGTACATGGTCATCAGCTTCCCCCATCGACGGAAAATATAGTTTAAGCTTGTTAATGTGAACGGTGAACCCTTAACCTGGTCTATCGTCAAGACTACGAATTACAAACGTCGCTTTACTAAGAACCGTGTCGACTATGTATGGTTCTTCCGACGAATGTTGAAATTTCCTTCCTTAACCAGCTATATTCATCGTAGCCATCCACACTAGGTCACCTTCCCCGACAGGGGTACCATGCCTCCGTTTATCGTAATAATCCTTCTGTCGCTTATGAGCTAGTGCTAGCTGTGACCTGGGTGAGTCGAAAGAACGACACAGTTGGCGTCTAACGTCAGCAACGTATTCGGAAGGTCCTATGTAATCCGGCTCTCGAGGTGAGGCTGCCACCCTCCGATTCTCAACGATAGTTTGCTTCATAGGAATGGTGGCTATGTCTGTCGTAAGTTCCGGAATCCTACACAATGCATTGGCGTTCTCGTGCTTTATCCGAGGGCGATACTCCACTCTATAGTTAAACTGGCCCAGTACCACAAGCCTCCTCACAATGATGCCTAAGGGTTTTTTGATGGTCCGTTACCTAAGAGATAGTGTTTAAAGTAATCCAAGAGAAACTTTAAGGCCAGCATTTCTAGTTTAGTAGTGCATTAATTGCTCTCAGCCTTCGACAAGGCTCTTTTGCCGAATGCTGTGGGGTGCTTTGAGCCATCGGGTTTAACCTCTGAAAGTACAGCCCAAATCGCTTTGTGTGATGCACTAGTGTCCAAAATGAACGAAAAATGATCCTTTCCCACGTTGGAGAAGCAACTACGGGAGTCGTTACCGAAGCCTTTGACAAACCTGCAGCAGTCTGTTGCCAGTCGTAGAAAACTGCGCAGCTTTTCCACATTAATTGGGATCGACCATGTTCTAACCTTCTCCGTCATATCCGGGTCTGTTCTAATCTCTGCTTTCGAAACTACGTAGCCCAAAAAGCGTGCATTTCTCCGGGTTAAGTTCAAGTCCCGCCCCACGAAGTCATTCAAAAGATTACGTAACCTCCTAACGTGCTGCTTGATATCCTTCGCAATTCACAGGATCACTGATTTTTATTTGCGTTCAGATGATATGGACCTCTAATAAATATAAACACTTGGGAGACGTCTCTATCAACTTCAGTTTCTGCAAATGAAATCTAATTTGTACGATTTCTGTGGCTGAAGCTGCAGACGGGTAGCTGATTGGCAGATGTTGCCGCATTTTTGGATCGTGTGTGCTTGATTTGATGAATTCGCTCCCTGATAATGAATATGATATTTGGGGTGGAAGCGATGTTCAAGGATTTAGTTTCGATGTATTTTGGTTTTTAAATATAGTTTTTTGTAGGACATAGAAACAAGAGATAATCAAGTTTACTCTGGTAAGAAAAATTGATTTCTATCTAATGAATGAAAGATGCTCTTGCCAAAAATATTAGTGGGAACACAGTCGAATCAAACTTTGTTCCAAGTGCGCGTCTTTTAGTAATAGTCAATTTGTAGGCCTCGTGAGTGAAGATTGCTTATTTTGCAACCAAAAGCTAAGCAATAATGTCTTGTATGAGGACAAGTGCGCCTTTTGCTCTGAAGCAAGTTGTTTTATATTGCCAAAAGTCATCATACTTTAGTCGTGTTGGATTGCTTGCCTACGGTCTTCGTTGACTGACTTAAGGTGTGGTGGAATAAGCGCGTGGCCAATTGATATGTTTGTCTCTTTTGAGGCAAAACGCATGCTGATTCAGCTGGCTTCCGAAACCCTTGATGGGGACTTCCTGTTAAAAGTACGCATTTTTAAAGGCTTATGTGTGAGGTAATTAATCTTGTGAACTCGCGGTTGGATCGTGATCTCTTCTTTACGATTATTCTGGAGAACGACTTAAGTTACAACCACTACCTACATTTCTTGAACGACACCGATCAAACCTCTGAGGCAGATGCACTTATGAGGTACAGGTCGCCACCTTATTCCACGTTTTTTATTTAGGGCACGTGGAAATATAGAGGAAGCCAAGGTATTTGTACTTACTACAGTCTATTTCAGATCTCAGCGTTTAAAAACCGCATGGAGGCTATACAAACAGGTAATTCAGAAGAAGCCGAGAAAGCCATGCATAATTTGCGCTTATTTGGAGCGTATGTTGTTATTTAACGGAAATAACCTATTTAGGACCGATTTAAGCTCCGCGCCGTCACTCGCCCCAATGAAAGAATCAGTCATTCAGGCGGCAGAGCTTTTGAGATTCCAATTAAACATCGTAGGTGTCACGCTCTGTTTATGATCGTTTAGAGGTCAGAATGGTCTGCGTTCCTGGAAAATTCTGCCAGTAGTTCTGTTAAGTCAATCTTGAATGAATTGGATGGACCGATTGTGGGACAAAACCTCGCAAATACAATTCTTGCTTGTACCCTAATGGACAAGAAGGTTTCTAAGGGGAGCCGAGCAGAACATCTTAAAACGGCTCACAATGTAAGTCGCGCCTTCCCCAACTGTTAGGTTGTTTATTCACTTGTACTTACTGTCTCGAAAACATCGAGTTTCTGTGCTAGCACTTTATGAAACGCCGATAATCTCTACCAACTCATCACTTGAATAGCTAACTGGTTTGTTGGAACATTTTTTTATTGTTGTTTATTGGGCCCATTTTGAGCCTTATGTGATTAGAGATCAAATTCCTCTATAAGTAAAATTTGTTCTCCTAAAACTTTCAGATGTCTGACGAACATTTCCGGTGGCTTGTCCTTGAGCCTCTGGTTCTCCAGGGCCAGTGGATGGAGATTGATCAGCTGTTACTAGAAAAGGTATTTCAATTAATAAATCCATCACCTTCTTCCGCTCCTGCTGAACTTTATTAGCCTACTTGAGTTCACATTTGTAGTCAACCATCTGTTCCCCTAATTGTACTGGAATATTTTTGTAATTTTAATATGATGCAGTAATGCAACGAATAATCTTGGAGCTGTCCATTTGGATAGCTCACTCGCTGTGCGTCGCCTCCAAACTGATAATACATCGATTGCAACCAGTCAGCACGTACCCTCTATACGTTGATATGTTAACCATTATTAGCTGGGCGAAGTTCTATTACCTTGATCTGTTCGCCTTGAATACTTATTTTGTGTCGTGCTGGAGAATCCCCAACTTTTCGGTAGACTAACCGCATTAGTGGGATTCGTGTCATCATTGATAGATTTCTCATTTTGTAAATAGAAATGGTTGTCGCGAAAGCCCACACCGTCACTGCCTATCGATCGTCTCATCCTTTTTTTCCATTCGATGAAAGCACCCAAAGAAGTAAGTCAAGGCTGTTCACATCTGTCTGCATTCATAGAATTTAAGCAGTCTACCTAAGAGATATGCCTTCTTTAGGTCAAACAGAGATTCCTCCAATACATGCCTGGATCGGAAAGTCTCACGGATTTGGTAGTTCGTCTTGGCCTCTTCGATCTTGGATTAGAGGTATGACTACTACCCGACAATTGCTCTGATCATGCTAAGACGTTGGTTTACCCAAAAACTCTTTTTTAACCACAGTTTTCGGAGTTATATACATAAGTTAATGTGAATTCAACTTAGTCTATGCATAACCTCGGCCCCCAAGAACGTGTCTACTTGAGAAGCGTACCATTAAGAGTAAATTCAGTGTGTGAACCGTGACCTAACTAACGCAAGGCGCCAATACATCTTACATGGCAGTTTCTGTTTGGCTATGATTAAAGTGTGTTTTTAGTACTTTATTCGTCGAAAGGACGTCAGCGGACTGAGGAACTTGTTGTCCAGAACGCCAAGCAGCCGAGAAGAATTCAAGATTGGCCAAACGTATCTAAGCAAACCGGTAGGTCATACTCGCAGCCATGACTTTCTTGTAGACTAATCAGTGGACGGAGTACGTGGCCAGTAACTGATGGGCATGTGAACGTCAACCAAAGTGCTTTCAAACTAATTTTGTCAGTTCCTGCACGTCTTGTATTTACTTGCACAGTAAACCGATTATTCCTTGCGCTTTGCTATTGTCACCACGAGAGAGCCAGGAACGAACGAGTACGAGTGATGGTCGTTTGTGCTAGAGGCTTACACCGAAACACTACAGGGGACTGCACAGGGCACTTAGTAGTCTGGGCCTGATTCTCAGGCGAACGAAGGGCCTCAGTCATTGTAAGTCATCCACAGCAGGTGAAACCAGCTCCACGTAGTAATTGTAGTTATTTATGCGAGGAAATACAAGATAATGGCACCTGGTTGCCTAGCAACTTCGGTGATGTCCTTCCCTCTGATGTGCGATCCGAGTGGATCAAATTATACAACGCGAGAGAAGAGTGTTCTGGGGGGGTGGAATTAGCCCCTGCGACCGGTTGAGGAAGGCTGTGGTGTCACTGCTCTTCGGAGAGATTGCAAACAGAGGTCACCCAACTGACAGAGGAGGCCCATTAGGATGGCAGCATGAGATGGTTCTCCCGACTGCTTCTTCGGCTCGTGTGCCTCTGTTGTCCACACAATCCTCAGTACGAGGCCAACAAGTCCCACGAAGAGTGCGAATGCAAACTTTGCCGCTGCAACGTAAACGAGTTCGTGGAATAGCCATTCGATTAGCCTGAAACGGAAATACAGCCACGGAGTTAGCCAATGCGATGCAAGGATTGTCGTACATCCACGATATGCAACACGAAACTACCAACCCAATGGTACATGCCTCGAAAATCCAGATCCAAATTATCATAGATAGCAGCGTCGAGGTACTATTTAGCTCGACGCTGTGATCACGCTGCGGTGGTTCGATGAATCAGCTTGCGGCACCACAATTACTAGTTCGCTATAATTTTCCTATCACCTCTGTCGATGCACGGACGGACATCGTGGTAATTCGCTACTTTTAACAAATATTTTGTTTTAGCCCTCAGCGTTTCTTTTGTGACAAATATTTTTGGTCTATCTCGACTCTGCTCATTTTCCTATACTGAATGACCCCGATGTCAAGAATGTTCGAAGATACCTAGGGTTGAACCTATGAATCTATGGTGGACCCTAAACTAATTTATGCAGTCGCGTATCTCAGTGAAGTAACCTTCCAATTAAAACAGAAATTTGCAAAATAAGTGAAAACACACCCAAAAATTGACAAGTGGAATGAGGCGATAATGTACGCCAGTATGGAGATGCAAGCCGCGGTCACATTTCTTTCTTTGCGCATGAGCAGCCACGGAGCCAAGAAGAGCACAAAGTTGAAGATCTAAGAGAGTAAGGTAGGACTGCAATTTACCAGTTCGAAATTAGCATCCAGGCTGAAGACTACGTAGGACCAATCGAATTCCAAACCATGAGTTCCAGTCCACAGGGGAATAATTCTATGAAATTAGAGTGCCAATTTAACCTCACCTAGCAAAAATAAGGTCGCCGAATGACCACCCAATGCTGCCAACAAGGACTGCTATTTCGCTTCGGCCAACCACATAAGAATAAATAAAGCGCACAGCCAGCAAATTGAGAAAAGCGCCCAGTAGTTCCTATAATCGTAGAACTTTCAATGATTGTACATACATAATTAAACAATCCAGCTGCTGATAAAATATCGAAATTGAAGTGTAATAAAGTAGCAGTAAACATTTTCGCGAGTTGGACAAATCCATAAAGTAAAACAATTTGGAAGCAGCGCCAGAAGGCGTCATGATCTGCCCTAGAAAGATAATTTAAGAAAATTGAAGCATACAGCCCGGCTGCTTTGTAAGCAATCACATGGGGTCCACCAGCAAGCGCCATGCAGTTGAAAAAGTTAAAATACCCCATTTCTGACTATGTGTTTCGCTCGGAGGAAGGCGATATCTAAAGGGTGCGAAGTCGAGACAATTGCACGCAAATTGTAAACACGCAAGAAAGTCTGTCAAATTGGTACACAATCATAATTTATTTGAAGATGAGTTGGCGACACTATAAAAAAATTAGGGATCACTGCGTTTTGAAAAAAAGCGTAATGAATAGTAAAAAAACAACGATTTCGGATGAAGTGAAGGCGACACGAGTAAACCAAAACATCGACACACTAAATGCCAAACTCAAACAACGGTGATTGGTGAACATTGGTTTGCAGTAGACGGATTTTGTGATCGTTGAGTGACTTTGAAATGTAAGCTTTAAAATTTAAATATCGAAATATAACATAAGGTTAGCATAATCTTGTGAACTAACTTTTTCCTAGACTCTTAGTGTAGATCTCTAATTTATTCAATTCGTAGCAGAAATGAAATTTAACAGTCGGCAGCAGTCTCTTGTTAATATTTGACCATGGTACCATGTGATGCTTTGTCAACTGAATGAACGTATTTATGGGTTTGTTAGAAATCAGCATTGATTAAAATCTTTAGTTAGATTTTACTTGCAGTCAAACCAAATCTGTATTAACAATATTTCATGCAAGTAATGATAATCTCCACGTTAAAAACCCTGATAATAGAAGAACTGTGTTTTATTTGCAAATATTATAATGAATACAAACTCAGATACTTAAAGCCGTTCGTAATTGAACAAAAATTTTAGAATCTGTAAATATCCAACTAATCAAACAGGGATGATTCCTTTGTCAATCAACGCATTTAGCTAGTTGGCAATTTCCTCGATGCGGGCTAAAGCTTCCTGTACTTCATAAGATACATTCAGACCGCAATCCGATAATTTTGTTCCGTTTGTTTGACTGCATCGAAAAAGTTGGTCTTGTAGACACTTTATCTCTTTAAAAAGAACCTTGGCATCTTTAATGAGGGAACGCTGTTTTCCATTTAACTGGATTATCTGAAATGAACATAGAGAACAAAACTATTCTTAAAACTTACATTACAGGGTTTACAGTGTTCAAATCAGCTGTAATTGATCTTAACCAATAATATAAAACTTTTTGCTTAGGCTCATTAAGCATTAAGGACCACTTTCATGCACTGACAATTGATTATTTGAACTGCTATAAATTAAATAGCTTTAACTACTGCTAAATTAAAATAAGGCTCCATTAGATCAAATGCCTATTTGGTTCTAGGGAAAATTCGAAAGTTGCACACTTGGTTGTTTTTAGTTGAAACAGAATGTTCTAGCAAAGCGACGCGTTTTGCTAACTGGTCTGTTTGCAGGAGGTGCTCCGCAGTCTCCTTGTGAAGGCGGTCACGTTCCGCCTCGTTGACTGCGGCTGCTTCCCGTGCTATTTTCGCTTCAGTTTGCAGGAGTTGGTGTCTTTTGTCAAGTTGTGTCAGAGTTGAATCGAAAACCTACAGAGTTCAAAGACTGCTTGACTTCACGTTAATTTAATGTTGAAAATAAAGTAACCTAATCTAGGCCTTTTATTTCTACTTTAGAGTTCCGACATTCTCCAGGCTTCGAACCATTTTCTATAGGGCACATAATTTTCATTACTTTGGTGATAGTGACGGGAAGGGTCCTAAAAGTCATCTCATTCAAATATTTCACATTATTTTAGCAACATATTGCATATCATGTCAGACACTTTTTAGGTTAATGAGCAGCAAGACTTACGAAGCCGATAATGACCTCAGAACTAGGCAAGCCACTGGATCAGTTATTTACACATTGATGTCGACTTTAGGAAATGCGGACAGCTTGCTCAAACTAATTCGCACGGTACCAAACAAACACCCGACAGATTGACACCTTTTACCTCAACGTTGTGCTGGCACTCTTCCCGCATCCTCTGAAAAAGGCTTCTGTACTGATTGAGGAGTCCCGTCGCTTTTTCTATTTGCATCTCATGTGCTTGACGTATGTCATCAATGGTCGCCTTTAGCTCTGTTTCTCTATTCTGTGCCAAATTGATCGCATTATTCATTTCACTTTCGTGTTGCTGAGTAGCACTGGCCAAATCTCTTTCAGTTATTCGGAGCTGTAAAAGGAAGTACATAGAGAACAATTCATTTACAGCCTAAATGAAAACCACAAGTACGTCAACCTTTTAAAAGTGGAGAGTATTACTTGCTTAACTGTTAAGAAGGCAACACTTTCTTTTTACACAGAACAAACACACAAAGGATTTTTTACTGCTTCACGATCATAACAATGAGCTTGGCTATGTTTCGACTCAAAACCGTTAGTTCTTTTTGAAAAATTTAAGTAGTGTCTGATAAATGCATGCTCTACCAACCTTCTGTTCAAGAGAGGTGGTTTGCGAAAGTAGACGGACTTGAGCCTCATTAGCGATGAGAGCTGCCGTCTCTGCCTTCTCTGCTCGCTCCAAGGCATCGCGTAACTGCGACTTGAGCAACTGGATGGTGGCTTTTAGTTCATCTTCATCAATAGAAGCCTGTTCTTGAAAATGCGCCAATTTATTAAGGGCCTGATTTCTACAAATGACCATTGCATTCAAATTATGTAAGACCATAGGTGGATCAACGCTTGCTTCTACACTGCATGGCGTCTATTGAATTGGTGGCACTGCATTTGCTACTGGAAAAATGTAATGATTACCTACGATTTTAAGCTTGCGGCTGCAACCCGTTCCTTTGACTCTTCTTCAAGTTTGGCATTGACTCCCTTGAGAACTTTGTTCTCCTCTTCCACTTTGTGCAGTTTCATTGTTATTTCAGCTAATTTTTCTTCCAAGTGGTCAATCTTAGCACTAGCCTCGGCTGCGTTTTTCTCAGCCAATAAGAGTGCAGCCTTGATGACCTCCAAACGCGTGTCTGATTGGTTAAGCGCTTTTTTCAAGACCTCTCTCTGTTTGGCCTCGTGATCGCGAAGGGCCTCAGTAAACCTAACCTTGGCCAGCTCAGCCTCCTCCAACGCCGCGTCGCGTGCTAATTCTGCCTGAAATTTCGAACTTACAAATGGTTTAAAACTCATTGGAAATTATTTTTGGCAGAAAAAAAGCCAGTGAGATCTTGACGTCATTGTTGGGAGAAAAGGCATCTACTAAAACAACCTCAATGACCTATTCTAGTAAGTTCAAGACCCCAGCTATTTTGCATGTCCCTAGTTATTTCCAATACTATCCGCAATCTGCTGGGAACTTTTCGAAGATTTAGCCCATTAATCTCAACTTGTCAGTTGTTTTAATCCCGAATCTCACTGCGCGCCACTTACAGTCTTGCCGATCGGGAACAGCAAGCTGCACGTGGACCCAACACGGGAAACCATTGCTCTCTGCATGTTTGTTGCAATCTCACGTTTGCTCTCCAGAATAACACGTTCCGGCTTGCCATTATTTTCCTGTTTTTAATCGTGAGACACAGAGTTTTATAGACCGTTACTGTAAACAAAAAAATGAATTTTTCGGAGACTCGGAATTAAAATATTAATACTTCAAATGGAGATGAATTAAAGTGCACTGCAGTTCATTCTCCCAAGACAGCAATCGGATTGGTTTCGATTGATTATTTTTTAAAAACACCAAAAATGTTTTTTGTTTAAATTAGGACCTAGTCTGTTCAATTGTTTAAACATATCGCATCATTGCATTTTTCTCGCCTATGCAGTTCTCGAAATGATTGCGACTCACACAACCAATTGCTCCATCGTTTTTTTAAGTAAACACTAGTTAACTGTCCTACAGAATTCGCATGTAAGACAGTCGGAAATGTTAAATATTTGGCTTAACATATAACACAGAAAATAAAATAGCGCCTACCGATGTCACTTGTTGCTTCGATTTCTCTGAAATCTCAATGCATTCTACTAACTTGGAGGCTAATTCGGCGTTTTCTTTTGACAAACTCTTCACTTGATTACGGAGATGTAGAGCCAGTCGAATGAGATCAATTTGTTCCCTAACGCGAAGACAGGGTGCGTATTATTAACCACAACAAGCCCGGATGTTCAAATTTTAGCGCATTTACTGAATAATGGTATGATGAGATTAAGTAGTATATTAACGCTTTCCACCGTGAAAATGGATGCGGCCTTACCTTTCCAATTGCGCGACTGCAATCTGCGAAACCTGTGTGTCATTTGGCAACGGAATGTTAGGCAAAGATTTCGAAATTGCTTGATGGATCTCGACTTCGTTTTGAATGCGATTAGTTGTTCTTACAAAAGAAAACATTAAAAGCAATCTAGAGTAAATGCAAAAATCGGGTGTTCACGTGGCGCGGCACGCAGGGTTGGCCAATGACAATTAGGACTACGTTATTGAAACGTGATTGGATGTCCAGTAGAGAAGACACGCAAAATGGGGCTATTTATTGTTCGGCTTATTTTGAATGCGATCAGTTGTTCTTAAAAAAGAAAACATTAAAAGCAATCTAAAGTAAATGCGAAAATCGGGTGTTCACGTGGCGCGGCACGCAGGGTTGGCCAATGGCAATTAGGACTGCGTTATTGAAACGTGATTGGATGTCCAGTAGAGAAGACACGCAAAATGGGGTTATTTATTGTCCGGCTTATTTTGAACAGTCGGGCGTATTTGCATGTAATGTTAAAGTGTGATGAAAGTAAATCTTAAAGGTGCAATGTATTGGCAAATATCCCAGCTGATTTCTAAAATTAGCTACAAATTACTACACGTTATCATAAACGATTTTATAATCTGTATGGGGGACTGTCAAGGTTAGTGGTTTAAACAAAAGGAGAAGCAACGTAAAGAGCAGGAGAAAACAGGTACCTGAGAAATTTAATTTCTTCGTCTAATCTGGCAATCTTGCCTTTATACAATCGTTCCATTGTAATCTAAAAAAGGCTAAAACTTAAATACCACTTATCACTGTTAGTAGTATTATTGAGGCGTCATAGGTTCTTACAATTTGTGCTTGAAAATCTCGCGGATTTGCTGTTGAAGTTTCGCGATTTCTCGGAGTTTCCAAGCACCCATTTTCCGGCGTGGCCTGCAAGTAAGGGAAAATATATTTTCGTGATTTTGATTGGCTGCACATAGTGTGCGTCCATTTTAGTGTTTTAAAAAGAACTCAAATACCGCAACTGCGGCTCGTCGTATTCGTAAATGCAAAAGGATCAAAACCACTTACCCGCAGTAATCTGATCCCAAAACACTCACCGCGTTCCCCTTGATTGGAAGACTCGTTTACCTTTAAAAGACAATCATGCATGCTAGTTTTCACATGGATTACAATGCGCTTTCATTAAAATAAAGAAAGCACCTGTTGAAACATTTTGGAGGGCCACAACAAATTGCGGTTCTCACTCACACAAGTAGACGAGTTTCCGGAGGCATGCTCTCGGTGACCAGG